ATCAGGTGGCTGTTGATCTGTTTGCCGAGCTTGGCAATTGATTTGCAAACTTTTTGTCACCATTCGAAGAGCTATCTTGGTTGCGCTGTTAGTTGGGTAGTCCCTGTCTTCGTACCAGCGCTTATATAGGTTACAAATAGCAACCATTGCGCTGTAACCTAATTGGCCATTGACAATCATCCTACTTGGATTATGGTTGGTCCAATCTTAATCTGTGTTGCGTTATAGTCTGTATTTCTCGCTTTCTACGGCCACGCTACTGTTGAAATTGTCGTCCATTATCGTCTCTTTCGGTTGGCCTGTTCTTTATCTGCATTGCGTCGTGGTCGGCTTCTCTGTTGGTTTGTGATATACTCCTATTTTTAGTAGTTTGTTGTTATACTGCTTTCTTCTTTGAGTCCGAGTTTAGCCTCGGGTTTTGTGGTTCTGGATTCCCGTTGTCCTCAGAGGCTGGTAGACAGGATCGATCTCAATGCGTTTGTTTATTGCTTATCAGTGGAGTACCTGGCCTCCATGAACTCGCGTTTTTTTTCTTCTTGCCTGGCCCAGTATACGGACGTTATTCCAATCGAATTTGTGCCCTTCTCCATCTTCGTGTGCAGAGATGGAAGAGAGTTGGTCGTGTCTCCTGGTGGCGAACCTCTGTTCGTTTATTCTGGTTGACAGTTTCCTCCCTGTTTGTCCCATCTAGTGTTTTTCATAGTCGTTGCTTTGAATTTTGTAGATTACACTTGTCTTTTCCATCACAACGCAACACAGATTATAATCGGACCAACCAGAATCCAAGTAGGATCATTGTCAGTGGCCAATCAGGTTACAGCGCAAAGGCTGTTCTTTGTAAACTATATAAACGCAGGCAGGAAGAGAGGGACTACCAACCAACAGCGTACCGATGATGTCTCCTCGGATGGTGACGAAACGTTCGCAAATCGACTGCAAATCAACAGCCACCTGATCAATTACCAACTAATGCACCCGAGCTACCAATATTCCAACACATCACCAACTTCAAAAGCTATTTTTTGTTGAGATAGATGGCAATTCTCTATAAAGATCATACGGTAAGCACATTTATAATGGGATGGAAGATCACTACCAGGTGTCTGATTCCTAGTTTACTCTGGACTATCTGTTTTGCCTGCATTAGTCATTCTATTGATGCTTCCTTAACTCCAAGGCACTTATTATAGACTTTTTTTACAGACAGACGAACAACTATTTACAGCAAAGCCGTCACGTTTTCTCGGGAGTATAATACTGCGGGCTTCATACCGGCAGTCTCTTGATGGATGTTATGGAGCGACATGCCGGACACAGGACGTGAATGTCGGGTGCCAGAATTGCAAACATTCCAAATACTGGTCTAAGTTGAACATTGCAGACTTGGGTAAAATGTGCTTGGTAAAGTGAAGTTTTTACTTTTTGAGGCAATTGCCTATAGTCCCAGTCAAAGTGATTAAAACCCGTGGGTTCATCTTTGTTCGCCGATGTGCAGATGATCGAGGGAAGTTGGTGACCAACACTTTTTGTCACTTTAACTATTCAGAAACTGTCACCTGCATTCTTAAGCTCTGTTGTGACCCATTCAGAATACGTTCTGATATCCATCAAGGAAAATTTCGATCAGTTTTACCAACACACGTGTCACTGCAACTGCAGGCGAACCGACAGATGACAGGCAAGTCAGAATGTTCGATCAAACTATATGACTTATTCTGAAACAGATAATATAGACCCCGTTTCACTCAAAAAGAAACCTCCCTATATATCAAGGACAATGTGCGTTTGTCAGTATCTTGTAACCTCGGTCCAAACCATCACCAACTAATCCACAGCTATCACTTAATTGTTCCCTCATCGTCAGTGATTAGAGCACAAAGTGCACAGTTCTCCGCTAAACAGTAGGTTGACTGAGTGACAATCAACTTTGCCCTATCTCGCAGCTGAAATATTGAACTGTCGCCTCCGCGTTTGCTAACTTCGCCTGACTTTACTCACACTCAAAGGAAAATGTGTCCAGATGGTCACAGGACTCAGATAACATTTCGACACGGTATCTCATGCCTACCATCTGTCCGTGTGGGTTCGAGTAGTTGGTATCTGAGGGGTCTCGAATGCATTGTTGTTAGATTTTGCGTTTAGCCGTACCGAACCATTCTACTTAGGATCAAAGAATTACTAGGTTCTAACACGTACGAGTAAGGTAACGCAGAAATTAGAACTCCTGTCTCAATTTAACGTCTCCTCGCTTGGTTTCGTCCTGCTTTTCCTTAGACCAAATATTAGAACCCAGAGTGCAAGGCCATATAATAACTTCAAATGACGCGCCTGTGACTGTTTTCCAGGAGCTCCGGCAAAAGTAAAAGTAGTCTTTTAATTTAGAATCGCGTCTCGACGTTTCAACTGCCATGCTAATTGGTTACGATTGGATTGTGCAATTCTGAAGCAGTTGAGAAAGGCAATTATCCAATCGGCTTCTGTTGTTCGGTTTATTCCAGTTTGGTTGTTAGGGCGGTGTGAACCGGCTCAGGCCACCGCGACGGCGGCGGATGGCGAGACGGCCATAACCGTGACTTCATCAGACCACGGCCACTGCCGTAACATCAATAAGACACGACTCAGTCCGCGGCCGAGTCAAGCCCAAATGGAGTGTGTCGGTGGGCCGGTTCGCCTGGGTTGGCGTCTAATGTTCAGTACCAGTTCGGCACCGGAGATCCATCCAGCCAAATTGCATCCATGGTGGTGCGAAATCTTCGGTTGATCACGCCTTTGACGGCAGGCGAACGGCCCTACCCGATTAGCTGGGCTTGATGGAGCTAACTGGAGCAGTGCGCTTGGATGACCCAATCGCAAACCGGTTGCTTTCACAGCCGTCCTGTCTGGTGGGGGTGTCATAAGACCGATCATGTGCATTGCGGTCCGCAAAGCCGATTTTTCCGAAATCAGATAATCAGGATGAACTGCAGTGACAGCTCCGTCTAGATCTGTTTACGGTGATTTCGACGTGAACTTACACATGCATGCATCCAGGCCTACCGCTCCAATTGCAGCAATATCAAAGCAGTCACTTGCATCTGGGATAACACTTTCGGAAACAACCTTGAGATGGCTAACTTGGCGTTAGTTCTGTGCCATTGATTATTTTAGGATGCATGTCATTCATAGTTTGCTTCAACTTACTGTTGCATATTGATTGTGTGAGCTAGCTAGGTAATCAGACTAGATATGGAAGTTAAATTACTGTCGCCTCCTTAGGAGGGACCTCGTTCAAGGATAGCGCTCTTTGAAAGTGCTGATTTTTGTCCGCTCAATTGAGGTTTCCACAGCATTGCAGGATTTTGAGAAGACTAGCCATCACCCAGGACTTTAAGCAACTTTTGATCAAAATCCACCTTAGAAAAAAATCAATGACTTCTCACAAAGCTCGTCTAACGTGCAACTAGGGCAGAACAAGATGACAACTGGTTAATGACAAAAATTCCTTCCAGCTAACTAGCTGTCAATCTCTATAGCGGGTTCGATAAAAACCAAGCAACGAGCTTTGAATTTAACTGACACTGCACCGAGTAAGTGGGATAGTTGGTTGCATTGCGCTGAAAAAAAACTAGTGCTAACAGGACCAGCCTTGACCGTACTTGAGATACGATGTTCACCTGTTTTAAGTTGCTTTCAGATCAAATCCACCGTAATTTCTCAACTCACTGAGTCGAACGGGAATCAGCTTTTGTACCGGTCACTTCGCTGCGCGAAGTGCGAGCATATGAGTGTATACTGACAAATTGCCAAGATACCAGATGCTATTCGTGGTAAACGAGATAAAATTTAGGTAGGGGTCTGGCTGGTACACCATTACTCATCCCTGCAAATTCTCACTTCAGTCTAGTCACTTTATCAAGTGAAAAACTTGTGATTCCACATGGAATTATTCGCCTAGTTTTTATGAGAACCCTAGAACTCTCGAACACTTTATGTGTTACCGATTTCTTGCAGTACCCACATCTGTAAGACTCAGGTTATAGCTTACCTGTCCTCTAAATAGCTAGGTGTGGTAGTTCGCCACAATCAGTCGTCCAGCCGTGGGTTTTCCAGTTGCCTTCAGTCCGCTAGGTAGGTAACAAAAAGTTCTACTCAAGGTTGGATACGTGCAACAGTACACCTGTGCGATCTGATGCGAGATAATTTTCTCTCACCCACTGTTCATTCAGCGGCCAAGTTACTTCGCCCGGCGCTACACACGTTTCTGTACAGATTTACACGTTCTACAATGGCCACCGTCTTTCTATCCACTGGACCTATCTTAAGCTAGATATCTCCCGATCACTCTTGAGAATTCGAGGCAAGAGTCGTTCCAACAACTGTATCGCTGAATCGCTGATGATGTCACCTTCTGTGCCTCGGTCAAATTCGAAATGGCATGTAGTTTGTTTTGGGACGAGCACTGTCAAACGCCGAATCGATAGCCTTTCAAATGTCGGACCAGCCGCATTTGCCATGAATGGTAAGTTGAACTAATCTGTCCGACATTGCTGTAAGTGCACCAAATCAAAGCCTTCACAAGGCATGTCATTCCGTTCATTGATGAAGTTAACTGTTGACGCCTTAGATAAATTCGTACGGAGCTCGGCGGTTTTCAGAGGGGAAGTTTATCCATAACAGGTTAAATTCAGCATGTAAGTGTGCTATTTACTCAAAAGTGTTTGTAATTGAAGTACACTGTCTTGAAGTCCCCATCTGTGTTGTTTACGGAAGTTGACAGCGGAATGAAGTTGCAGTTGCCCTGATCTCTCCAAATGTACACGCTGAACATGAAATTGTACACTACAACAAAACGCTGAGCCAATGAGTGGATGTTAGACACAGGAAAATCAATCGAGTTATTCCACAGAGAAGTGACGTAGATGGGGTGGTTCTCTCATGATTTTAAAGTCGATTTCTGTGATGTTACCAACTTTTCCCCTCACCGTTAAGTCGCGATTGGAGTCCGAAAGAAACTGGCCCAGACGGACCTTTTTCTCACTAAGCAAACTCATCGAGTATTGGAAGAGGGAGATCACCCACCTGATGCTTTGACTGAAAATTCGATGCTCTCAACTTGGGAACCATGCGCGTCCACGCTGAATATCAGAATTTGTGTATCGAAACACAAGCTTATATAAAGACTACCCAGTTGTAAGTTTTCAAACTACTCGTGAACGCTATTCTAACCTTGTTGAATTTACTCATCTGGTGACAGGACAAATGCCATGACACTATGTGGGTGCAGTGGTACCTGTTTTTCACCTTACCACATACCAGTTTGTTGGCATCCAAAATAATTCGCATTTTCCAGTGTGCTTGACGTTCATCAATCTCTGAAGGGAGCGTCGTTTGCTTTTCTTTCGAAGATTTCGTGGCCGTTGTTGTTGTTGTGCGCTGTCTGGGCGGTGTTCCCCGTTGTCGCCGGGCTAATACGAACAAACAGAAAGCCTCAATAACAGGAAAGTGCCTTCCTATCGATTTGCAAAAATGTTGCACTTAAGAATAATATGGCCATCCTCTACTTTCAGTTCGTAACAGGGAGAGCTGGTTCATTTAGATAAAATGTGGGAAACCAAATGAAAAATTTTCAGCATGGGAGTTGTGAAGGTCACTGAGAATATGTCAAAGGTTAAGACGAGTGGAGTGACCGGTATTCTTCTACCGAACATTCTGAACCTCCTGCATGGGGTACTGGACTTTCACCCAACCAGTAAGACACAATGAATTTGAATCTTTTATGACCTGCTTACCTGAAGATTTATTCACGAAAAAAGAATATTGATTATCAGTATCTTAATGTGAAATCTACATGGTTGCAAAAGCAGACACTGCCTGCAAGTAGCCGAGTTTGGAAACAAAGTCAGTTGACAGCTTAAATCATAAAAATGATTCACCATTGCGACTGTTTCGGAGGTGAACTAATAAAAGCACGGTTGCCTACTTGTTAGGCACTTTGCAGCAGCAAGACAAGGTGAATCTCAGAAATCAAAGATGAAGAGATAAAGCAGTGTGCCAAATTGGAAAGATAGACCACCGGACGAAACTTCCATTTGGCCATCCGGAGATCTGAGCTCCAGCTCCGACAACCTACATCAATCAGCTGTTGACTCTACTAGAAACTATGTATGGCATCTAATTTTTCATATTTTCTCAACATTGAGAGTGAAAAAAATGTTCGTAATGCTAATTTGCAGATGTAGGAATTATCAGCTGCCGGACTTACGAGTTGCTAAGAGATCACGAGTGGCCCGACATCGCATGAGGTTCCTGTACATATATTTAGCCCAGGCAGCCAAAGCTAAAGACTGGACTACTTAAAAATATCGTTTTCGAAAAAGTTTGGTGACAATCGGTAGATTTATCGGTAGATTTATTGACACAAAATATTCGTCAGGCCAAGTGACTAGGTTCCGAGATTGGTCAAGATTTAAGGCGGAAGGATAACCAATCAGTTAAGTCAAGCTAAATCTCTGTTGGGTGTCGGCCGAGGGATTTTAGAGTGTTAGAGTGGTTGTACAACTGTTGGGTCGGTGGGGAAAACTACATGTGTTTGGGTTCAGCCCAGGGTCTTAGTTCTTCTGGTCCGGTTCATTTGATGGTTCCTCTTGAAAGTCGCTTGAACCTTGGCCCTTTGTGTGAATGAGCTAGTGCTAAGAAAGTTGTGTAAGAGGGATGCTGTGACCTTTAGTCGGGTTGGGATTTCTACCCCCACCACCCCACCCCCGTATTTTTCTATTGATCCCACGTCACGCGTCAACTCGATGTAGCTAAGACCGGTTTCCATACGCTCGCCAGCTCCACACCCTCGATCCCATTCATGCTGTGGTGCTTAGTAATTTCCACCGCCTCGGCTATCAGCCGCTGTGGTGTGAATCGCAGTCCCCGTCTTAAAACTTCCACATTCTCCACATCTATTCCATGTCTCGTGTCTAAGGCGTGTACCGCCATCGCTGTCTTTGACCAGCGTTTGGTATTCTTCCACATTCCTTGGTGGTTTGTTAATCCTTCTTTTATGCTCACCAATTCTGGTGTGCAATTCCCTGGCAGTTTGTCCTATATAAACCTTATAAAGATGTTTCCCATTAGCACAAAGGCTTCCACAGTACACTGATATAAAATAACTTGGTAGAGCCAATTGTCCACAAGTACCGTGTGTCCCACGTACAATAATTTGTGGATTTATATCTGTGTGCTCATGGTCAAAAGGTGTATTTTTCTAGAGCTAACGTCATAAATTTCCGAAAAGTAGATTAATAAAACGTCCACTGGATTCAGTAGTTATAGACGCGAGCGACCGTCACAAGAATGTCTTATTCCGATTGTAGGAAGATCGGTTGCAAATTAAAACCAAAATGCATTTCATATAAACAAATATCTCTGATAAACCCTATCACATTGAAACCGGTTGAGAAGTCAATTAAGCTTTATCCGGTTTCCTCGCAACTCAGCCACGAGTTTACTGAATGCTACGCACAACGAAATGTATTGTTCAAACAGCATAATGCCAAGTCCTCCGAGATATGTAGTAACTTGCGCTCGTGACATTTGCACACTGTAGTTCGCAAATGTCCTCTCAGTGCACTCGAGGTCATTCTGAGTCAAACTGTTAGGTAGGAATCCACACGGATCCCGCTATACCGCACGTCTTCAGGCGCGGCTACGACCGATAAGCCTAGCCCGCACGAGACTGGCCAAGAATTCGGGACGCTTGCCGGTCCGGCATCAAGGCGAGATCTGATTGGTCGAGAATCTGGACCCAACAGCCAATCATGACCCAGTATTGGCCAAATGCCGATCGCCAATGGCGCATCCAGAACGCGTCCGAATTTCCAGAAAGATATAATCGCCTACGCTATATATACGAAGCTCTGTACAACTGTTCCTGACTTCGTTTTGGGCATTAATAGACCTTGTGCAACTTTGGTGGTTGTTTTGACGTGAACGCTAGCTTGGAAGGCTCAGACCGAGAACTGAGCTAAGGAAAATACGGTTACTACAGAAACCCAGGCCAACAGAGTTGGGTTTCTTCTGGGAGAACCACTTTTCGGAAGGTACGACTAAAGGGGTCATCTGTATTTTGACCCGCGAGACACTTTTACGGGTAAGCTCCCCACCACGAAGTATTACTTCATGATTGGTCCCCTGAGGCGATCATTCCATAGACTAAGATCTATGGTGTATACTCGGCGCTCAACCAAAACACATTTGTTCGGAAATCCAGAGTAACCCAAACGCCGCGCCCTTGCTTACAAGGCGGGACAAGCTTATCTGTGGGACGAGTTGATATGTACCTGTAAGGAGGTTGGCAAATATCGATAATCAGTACAAAGGTTACATGTACCTGGAAAGTAAAACGAAACAAGTCTCCTGTGCCAGTAGGAATCCCCAGCATAATCACTCACTTCAACTGTGATGTGCTTTCTTCAATACAGATGAATTTGTATGAATTGTATGAGATAACTGCAGTCTTTCTTCAATGTTTTATTGAAACTCCCTGTCTATTTTAGCGGCCAGTCTTGCATCAGTATCGCTGTTTGTGTGTGCCGATTAACACTGGTTTCTCACACCACATTTCCCTGTTTAACGTACGAAGTTCTATTCAGATCGGACGACAAACTGCTCTTAACCCACATCAATGACCATTTTCTGCGCTTTTGAAACTCTAATACTTGATTCGGGTACAGTTACCGTGTTTATCGTATCTTCGTGATGTAGAAGCAATACCCCGCGAGGGCAAACAGATCTGGAGGGAATACCCAGCCGTCCATGCACTGATGATATTGCTTCATATTGTGACCAAACATTTTGTTTAATTGCTGAAAATTAGCCGTCTGTGTGCACAAATCTTTCCTTGACCTTACAAGAAATAACTTGTCAATACAATGTACCCTTTTAAAGTTGGATAACTTCTTCCGGAGTACGACGTGTTTGAACACAAAAGAGACTTATTCAAGCACTTACGAGCTACATCGTAGTAAGTGCGACCTTTGGACGATACTTCGTTCTGCGAAGTGAACTCTGAAACTTTAAAAAACCTCGTAACTGAGAATAAATTTTCCAATGCGATTCAGTGTGTTGAAAAGTCCTGCTGCCAGAATTTCGGAACACAATAAACAGTGTGAAAGCTAACCGGAAAATGTAGCGAATTTCGACAAAGAAAAGCACAAATTTTGGTTTGAAATTCGTGTGCTGATCCTCTGCTAATTTAAACGTTTTGGTAAACAATTTGGTGGCACAGAATTTGAGGCGTGCCACTCAGAGACGCAATAAACTGACAGAGGTTTTACAGAATCAAGCATATTCCTATGGACAAACCAGACAGGGCTTTCAAGGTTGACGTACCCAAAAATTCTTCCAACTGCGCTTTTTTCTGCTCCACCAAGAAGGACCAGTTCTCCAAACTTAACGGCCACGCATTCCTGTCCACATGCGCTTCGATCCAGCAAGGATGAACATGACTTCTTCGATCGCCTGACAAGGGATGCCCCTCTCGGCTAGACATCCGCTTCGGTTGGGACGTGGAACTTATACTACTTTCTCGGCTTTTCCGTCCTGAACTTCCTGTGCTGCTTTGTCGCTATGGAAGTAGGGTGCGGAGGAAATGGAGTAGACCAAGTTAGAAACTGTGTTGCTGGCGAGGTTCGTAACTAAGTCTAAGTGAATAAGTTCTGAGATGGATGGATGGATGGATGGATGGATGGATGGACGGCAGACTCATGAACGTACTTCGCAGCTAAACAGTGCATAGAAGGACAGTGTTTATGAGGTATTCGGCTGAAAAAAGCTAAAGGGACTCAGAAACATGTGGCATAATCTGATGTACCACTGGTCACTATCAACCGAATACTATTTGCAAAGACTAGGAATTTAATCAGGCTTAAATCAGACATCATTTTAATGAAAACGATATCATCAGAGTCTTCGGCTGCTGACTGATAAAGTGAGTCATAAGTTTTGGGGGACAGAGCAGGGGGTTATCGACTTTGCTTGCAAACACTTCGTCACTGATCGAGCTGTGCAGGAGGTATTCACGTGTCATACTTTGGCAAAACAGGTACGTCTGCTTAAAACTCACCCAGAGCTTTTTACACCTTATTTAGCCCCTTTGTCGGAATGCGTTCATTCTCTTTGTTTGTACAGGTCTTATAGCTTTTGACTTGGACGTCCGCGCGTTCCTATTGGTCTGTCCCACAGTATGACTGTGTTTGTGCATTTGTGTGCAGATGGTCTTACGTGGCCAGTGGCCTACTCGTCTTCCCTATCTTGTCCGGTCCGTGAACTTCAGAACGACCACTCAGCAAAAGATGTGAATCAATGTTCAGTTTTCGATGTTGTGATGGCGGCTACAGTACCGTCGAGTCCATAATGTTTCATAATCACCCAAACGGTGGAACACTTACACAATGTGAGGTTGCTCGTCGGCGACTTAGCACTAAGCAGGTGAGGCTCATTCGACCGTGGATCTCAAGCAATGCGTTGATGTACACATCGTCTGAGAGGTTGTCCGAAAAGATTGTGGCAGGTTAGCCACAACTAAAGACATCGATGATCTCCATGCAGAAGTCTTCGGTCGTTGCAAGCAACCAACCCACCCGTAGCTGCTGGTGTACACTCGTCACAAAATCAGCCGAAGTAGACGAATAGTTGATGAAAATAATTTCATACCCAGCTCCGGAACTGAACTGTACTGGTGGCGTCCTGAACTAGCTGGGATAAACTCGACCTACACTGATGGCCGTGTTGGGTACAAACCATCCCACTTCTTTTCCTAATGAATGCCTATTAGGTTGGAAATCCCGGACGTTTCTGTTTTACGGAGCATGAAAACACCCAAGTCATTCTACATTTAACGAGGGATGTCAGCTGGTATATAATAATAAGTTCCATAGATGTAATCCACTACTCATGAGGTTGCTGAGAATTCCTCAATCCTATGAGTAGTGTATTACGTCTATAGACGTATCGCGATATATCGAATATCGTTGCAGATGGAACATGAGACGGCCTGATGCAGAACATTCAGGTGCTTAGAAACATCAGAAAAGAGATATTCAGCTGGGTTCCAGGTGAGTCTATCACAAAACCACATTTGTTTGCAAATGAGTGCTTTTCGCGAATCAATAAGTTCTGTTGTCACGGACGACAGCGCTGCACTCCAAATGGCTATGACAGATGAACTCTCCCAAGATAATCATCTTCTCTGTGCCGTATAGGCATGCTAAGAAACCTTAAGAATCCCGTAAGTCAACCGAATCCGTGATAATTGTCCCCTAAACTTAACATGTCCCCCCCATATGTTTTTGCTGTTTTTTCTCAAATTCCCATGCAAACTAGAAGACTTTGGCGGTTTTGGATCGCGTTAACTTAACTGGAGGCCTCGAATCCACTTCCGTATGAATTATAAATCAAAACCGTTGCTCGGTGTATGAAACGGAAAGTCTACTTGTGAATATTCGCTGATATTTGGAGAGGTGGAAATGTCCGTAATGAGAGCACTCAATAGTTTTGATTCAGACACACGTCTTTGATGCCTGGTTGGGTGGTGGTTGTTGGTGAAAGATTTCGAAATGGATTTTGCCCAGATTTCGGGTTTCTGCTGACCCGTGATACCTCATGGGTCACACAATGCTTACCAATGAAGACATCCTGGTTTTACGGTCAAACCTATGTGAATGTTTTCACGAAAATCGCGGGTTTAGTGAGCATGACTTCTTTAGCAACTGTGTGCAGTTGCATGGACTGACCTGATAATCGTTTCTCTGTTGCTCGCTTTTTGTAACCCACAAAGGCGTGAGACTGGACCCTACGAGGACTTATCACCGATATTCCGATCATCTACTTGTTACTGGAGATTTGGTGATCTACCTCTCAACTTCGATGATAGAGACAATCTACCCACGCGTAGCTCAAAGTCCCAACCGTGGAACGTTACAACAGCCATGTTTAAGAAACTGCGGTATTCATGAGAGACACTCGCACGAAGCTGAATCCACATGCAATTGCCAGATAGTGGAAACTGAAAAATGGACGTTGAAACAATAGAAATCAAGCGACTCACAACGAGTACGTCGCAATCCTGGAGGAAATCTCCACAAACTCTGAGACAGTCAGATCAGTAGTTCCGAGCGCATCACTCCTGGCTGAAACCTATAGTTTCCAACCATACTGGTTCATGCATGCAACACAAACTTGAACTCACCTCACTGATCAAATGAATGAGCATTCTAAATGACTAATTCAAAGATGAAGCCAGGAAAGATTGAACGGACCAAGTTTTACAAAACCGTAGCAACAATTAAAATGTTTCATCACATGCAAATGTTCGCCATCGTTTTTTTAGCCAAGTTCGTTTGTGGATAGAAGCTCCAATAAGGTCACCATAAGCAACGGAAAAGAAGTAAACAACTCTGGATACATCATCGAGGATATTTAACACTGCTTTTCAGAGAGAAACCTGCGAAGAAAGAATGATTTCCTGGGCTCCATGGGTGTTATATCCACATTGCTCCAACTTAGCGATAACACGCAAGTGGTACGATACGCTTGCTTATATCCAAACTGCTTCATAGTTGTCCTGCGTCGTGCCAGAAATCAGATTATAGCACACGGTTTTGAATCACTGTTCTCATTGAACTAACTGCCATGGGGAGCAAACATCTTGAATTCATCCGATTCACCTATATTCGGGCAATTTACAAACCATTTCATGAGATTGATGTGAAAACTTACGGATATGGTTCAGTAAGCAAGCTCAACGCATTTTGTTGATGCGCTTTGCTTCCCCTACTACCCGACCTGGTTTTTGCCCCCGTAGTTAGCGGAGAAATGATGAAGGATGATCTCTATATTGCCCACGTTCCGTTTTGGTCTTCTTTTCACGAGTTGTCAGAGCCTTCATTTCCGATAACCGAATGTTCCCATAATTAACACACTTGTTTCTAAAATAATTGTGACTGAGGCACTTCCACCCAGGCCCAATTAGACAAAGCACAGTTGAATTCTATCGCCTGGTGCATTGATTAAAATCTAGGGAGGAAATAGTTTACAGGAGAAATTGTTGAGTTAGAAGCTTAGAATTTGTGTTTTTACGGACAGTACACTAGCACAAGTAATGGAAAGAGGATAATTGCATCCGGCGATGATGAAGTAGTGTTCTATCCAAGTCACTACATCAGACTTCATCACGTATAACAGGACTGTTCTGCTGCCATCTGTAGTTTAAGCAATTTCCCATCTAACAATAAATCTAGTGGGAGAAAACCATGATAATTGTTACCAGAGTAAGGCGATCGGGCCCGTAGGAAAACAACGAACTGGCGAATCGTGCGTTAACCTGAACATTGGTCAATGAGGTTTCAGAGTGACTATTTTGGAAACTGACTTACTGAAACTCTCCCAGTCTTTTTAGCGGATGGTCTGCGACCGGTGGAACTGGAATCCGACTGATCTTCTTTCGTTAGGCTTCTGGGTTGACTGATCGGCAGATCTTTAGTGGATCGAAGTAATTGGGCTCGTACACAGACTTCACCCACACCAGTTGCAGCTGTCACCAGCTGGTTAGAGTGGAATATTGACAGTCGAACCGGCACGCTCGGAGCTGACAAACGAAGGTGCACGGTGATCAGCTGATCTCTGTCAACCTACCACAAGGAAGAAAGGCTATTTTAACCAAGTGAACATCATGGGGAACGGAGCTATTTGGTCTCTCAGGTGTGACTGACCTCTCTGCGAATTTCCGTAATCGCCAGCTAGTTAACGGCGCGCTGACACTCACTACAGCGACGGTAGATTACACCATTCCCCCTGAAGAGGTCACTGCATCAGACTTCCATGGTCTACCTTTCCATCTAAAAACTTATCTGACAAATTTATTGTATAGTTTAGTATAGTATAGTTGTCAAAGTAACCGCCTTATAGTTGAAAGACCATAAAACCGCTAAGGCCTCCACTGATATCTTTCAATTTAAAAAACAAGAAAATTTGAGGTGAACCTAATGGTTAGATTTTGTGTTGTTTTCCCATCCGACTCTAAAAGACCTTGGTTTTTGCACAAACCAAGGAAGCACGTTTAATCTTTCTTAGAGATGTAACCTGAAGGAGCCCGCCTGGTTTATCCTCAATATGACATGCTCCAAAGGATCAACTGAAGGGTTTTTTCACAGTAGTCCCTTAAGAACCAGATATTTGTATTGAGTGTACGTTTTTGCCATTTAATCACAAACCAAACCCAGTATGACGGACACCTTGTGCCTGATGTTCGAGTCTTGACTGGGCTAGTGCCTACCGCACCTTGAAGAGCAATCAACATTGTTTGTCCTTTCTTCGGTTGTTGGTTTTTAGACGTATGTTTCAATATCAAAATTTTTACATACGTTGGGATTCATCTTATCTGACTGGAACTGTTGGTGGCGTGAATTCGAATGAGACGTTTCTCTCTTTTCTCTCATATTCTCCTGTTACCCTTTCGCACTCGTCGCTTGCATTCAATTTCTATGTCTGTGACCATGCTCTTCAAAAATAAATGATAATAGTAGCGAAAGTAGGATTGATTGATTTGGTGGCCCAAGGTGTGTAAAGAGAAAGTCGTTTCACAATGTCGGGGAACATAGCACTGTTAAGCCTTACTCTGAATGAGTAAATGATTTTTTGTGACGAGAACGTTTACCAAGCCAGGATTTATAAGGCGGTGTCTACAGGAATGATAATAGCCTAGGAGATGCTTCTGTCCTGCTATATTATATTATACTATCGAATCATGTTTATATAATGCAGAGCAGATAATGAATGGTATTGCGCTTGTGAACTCGTGAGTAGAACGAGTGTTTGTGGGTATATTGCCATGTCAAAAGCACTCATAACTGGTTACAAAGAACTACCCGCTACAAACGTGTGGTTTATAGTAGCTCCGAACCAAGAGCGTCCGTACAAGCTTATCAGAACTAAAATTACTGATAGTGATACCAAAAAACCGTCCACTTCGTTTTTAATACAACCGTTTATGTTAAGGAACATGACTCATATGGGAACTGTACTGATTCTTAGGATATTGTGCCAGGTGTTTCATCTCAGATAACAAGTAGGCACTCAGTGGACAGGACAGTCAAAAGTGATTTTTGGGTGTTTTTTGGAATTATACAACAATAGTCCAACAGGGGCCTCCAGCAAATGGTCACCTGATGATACTGGATACGATTACCTGAGACCGTACCGTTCCCGAAAGTGCACACCACAGGCTGAATCCTGCGTTTAACCTATCGACATGAGTCAACAGTTCACTCGACTGGGGTTTTGTGCATAGCTTCTGTGCAACTCGGAGGGAACACAAGGAATAACCAAACATAGACAGGAGCTATAGAAAAACCAGGATTGCTCTTGAACCAGAACCTGCTAGTCGGTAGTTTCGCGCCCTAATTACGCAGATATTTTGAGCTGAAAATATTTCATGGATGGATTGTAACATGATGCTCATCGTTTGCCAGATGATGGTCACTAACCCCCGGGCAGCTATGATCCTTTTGGTTCACCTTTTCGGACGAATAATCATTGTCTCAGCCTACCGACGAGTTTTATGTAAACCGATCTATCGCAGTCTTATTCGCTTACGGAAATGTCCTACCACTCAGTTGATATAGGAGTATGTTTTTTTAGGGGAGAGTGCTCTCACGGTAGAACGACGTCAGCTGGCTAAACCTTTCGACATTTTATCTTTGTAACGTACTACTGATAGTTGGCTGAATTCGCCGACAGCGCACGACCGGTTTCGCACTTTTCGGGGCTCATCAGGTTGGCGTAGTCCCCGGGTTTCCGTCAACCTCATGTTCTACTTGAAACCTGAGAACATCACAAACGAGAGATCCAGCTGGGTTACAAGTGAGCCTCTCGAAAAAACCCAATTAGTTTACAAATGAGTATATCTTCGTTAACTTTCGACATTTTGTCCTCCACAAGGCTGAGCGACATTCTCTTTCACAAGATACCTCATCACATGTGAGCGATTACAGAGCGTGCTGTAGAGTGCAGCAGAGCTGACAAAGAAAATAACGATGACGGGAATTTCGGTTTATCGATTTTAGGACAATGATTCATATACACAAATGGATCTCCAGATTTCAGATCGGATTCACTCAGTCCAAATGAGTACCGGTAAATGAGGAAAGCGTGGAGAAGCCTGACGGAATGCAACAATACACTTATCATAAATCTTGGGATAGTTGATCTACCGACAAACAACGGAAGAGGTTTGTCTCCAGTGAATGCACATGCAGTGGAGCTATTATTGGATTCAACTGAGCGGCCCGAACCCTGGTGGGTCTCCACGCGGAAGGGTTTACATAGTTCTTCGAGAGCGTGACGCTTCTCCGAGAAAACAGCTGATTTGCAAATTTACGTTATAATAACGGGGAAATCAAGTGAAAGTGAGTTGAATATCTTGTTAGTAATTGTTAAGACGGTTCCCCCAAACGAACATTTCTATTTTGGTTATGTTTCCAATAGCATTTTACTTTCTAGTGTACTTTATTCGTTGCTGCCCGTTTAGAGTGTAGCGCGCTACTTCGGCTCATTTTCTTCATTCTCTTCAGGATACACTGCACCAACGTCGTTTGCCATTTTAATTGTATGCTGGAATGAATAACAGATATACAACACGTACAACACAGACAATACAGATATATAACAGTAATATTCTACGGCTGATATTCAGTCTGGTCTCCTGGTAATACCAAGTTACCATGTAGTCAACCTGGTGTTCACTCAGGAAATATGGTTGATGTCAACCATCGCGCACTAAACGTCATAAAGGACGAAACTTATAGTGTGTCCTTGAAGATTCTTCAATCAGTGTATAATGAAAAGAATGAGGCCATATTGGGAGACTAAAACCATTGGTTTTTGACGGAAATATCAAACATCATACATTTGTTTTCAATCAATTGGAAAATGTTTGAAACCGACTGAGTAGTCATCGTTTCAGAGGGGTTCGGTGGACTTACTGCTGGGCAACCTTTCGCTCTTCACACAAAAGTTTCGTCAGGCCAAGTGAGCAGGTAAGCAGGTTGATTGGGTATTAAGGTAGTCAGAGAACCAATCCGTGAGATTTCTAGCCGATTTGATCAGTGATGCGTGTCAGTCTGATGTTCTTGGTTGTTGGTTAGCGGGGATGACATTTACGGTAGATAAGTCAGGGAGGAGTTGTCTTCATGCTGAATCCGGATTTTGTGGCCTTGCTTTTTCTGTCTAGGACATCTTAATGGGGTTGTCCACAGATTTTGTTCGCCTGTGTTCGACGAGAGGTGCCGGGTTTGGGGATTGGTGGCGGTGATGGTTAATCGGATCGTACTCCGCTTGGATTTCGTACTTTTACACCCAAGCCATTTTGCTAATAACTGCACACCACCTCGTGTCATCTTGGCTGATTTAAAACCACTCTCCACATGCTTGCCAGTTCTACGCCCTCTGTTCTATTCACACTGGGATGCTTGGCGATTTCCCCCGCCTCGACCACCATTCACTGTGGAGCGAATCTTAGCCTCCGTCTCAGAATGTCCACATTTTCTAAATCTACCCTGTGCCCAGTGTCTAGTGCATTGCCGAATCGCCTGATGTTTATGTGCGTTTCTTGGTGGTCTGTGAATGGATCGTTTATGCACACCAATTCTGGTGTACAATTCCGTGGTTCTCTGGCCTTATATAAACCTCAGTACAGTCGTTACATTTTATTTTGTATACACTGTTCCTAGTCTTATCAGCTGGCAATAAATCCACCTATTGTTTATTGATCATACGTTTGTCTTTTCTCTCGGCGCCACGAACACTGAAACTGCTCCAACAGGTGAAAAATACTGCGGTGTACTTAACTTGGATGCAGACATCGGACTTGAGTCCAGGGTGTAAAATATTAGAGGATAAATCCAACTGGATAGACACTGTGGACACGTGTTGGATTACGCTGCCTGGAACTACTTCCTCCCATCCATGGGCGTTAAAGGAGAACATTGAACGAGACTTATGGAGATTCGGAGCTGTGTTTGGACCAATCTCAAAAATGACTTTAGATGACGTTTCAAAACACATTTGGATTCACGTGGGTGATAGAACCACATGAACGCTCGAGACCAAACCCTCCAGGGAGCTTCGTTCAATCCGTCGATAGGTTGAATTTCATAGGGGATGATGATTTGAGGAGTCAAGATCAATTTCAACCACTACTTGATCACGTGATGCGAATTCTTCGACCAAACGACACTACATCGTGCCCAAATGACAATTATCAACCGCTCGTGGTAGAACGGTACGAACCCAGACTACTGGCCGGTAGGTCGTGAATTTGAATCATCCTGAATAGTTGCAAGGTGCGCACTGCTGCCGACTCCTAATAAAGATGAAACCGTATAGTAAGTTTAAAGTGAAAACATATCATAGTGGAATAAATTACTGTAATCGGACTTTTCGAGTGGGAAAATTTGTTCAAGGATTATCACAATCATTTTAACCAGAACAGCTTTACAGCGTTTCTAGGTTTTCCCGGACTCACTGAAGGGATAAATCTCAATTGTAACTGTCAACTGCGCTAGGTGGCGAGCCATCGGTTGCCAGAGGAACTCACCTCTACGTGTCTCCTGAACAACAGTGCTTTTTCGTTTGGGACGTAATAACCAGTCACCTCCTTTGCCTTGAATGCTGTACACAGCGGACGCTGCCAGTCATTTTGTATTTGCGGGAGACCGTTTAATCCATTTGTCCCAGGAGCCATTAGGCGCAGAAGCCAACGACCTTCAGGTGATGGACTCGGACCCCCAATGCCTAGCAAACTATATCCATTTTTGTTGAGTTTCAGCGATATCGGATGAACCGTTCCGGTAAAGATTGTGTGCAGCTCCTGGCCTGGAAAAGTTGTGACAAAACAGTTTGAAAGCTGAAGTACTCGCAAAGCATACGAAACTGAATGTGGTTTGCATGCTGCTGACACTTACCAGTATCATTGTTGATAATTTTAACCTGACAGTCGGGCAGATCGGTTCGGAAACGCATCCTAAAGTCTTTTGTCGAACCTTCATCCTTTGGGTCGTTTTGTGGACCAATGGTCAGTATATCTCGAAAGAGGAGTGTGACCCAGTCCTGCACTTTAGGCGACAGCTCTGGTTTTGCTGTACATTCTTCGGTTAGGTTCAGTATATCACTAACTGGCCTTGCTGGTTGAGAGCCGGTAAAGTCCAAACATGCGATGTACCGCTCTAAATCCCTTCCAAATTCAAGTTCATTCTGTTCAACCAACATCTGGACCAAATCAACACCGATTTCCCGCTCCGTTTGGCCACGGTTCAGCAATTCCAAACATTTGGACCAACCGGATTCGACACGTTTGGCTTTCCGCATAAGCGCCATCTTCATTCTGACGTACCTAGGAGTGTCACAATCGCCCAACGGTGAATCTGACAGACTGTTAGAGCGTAAGCTTGGGACCAGGAATGACACGATGGTTTGTGGACTACGAAGTCGCATGCATAAACGAGTGTGATAGCCTCTAAATGCCGCTTGAATACGTACAACTGCTATAAGAGTATCCGGATCGATTGGTTGTGACCAACGGATTTGGAATTCCTCCTCTGATCCCCTGAACCAAGCAACAAGAAAAGAATAAGCATCATCGAGGCTTAGAAAATAAAAATGAATCGTCTTACATACCGCATCAAGGGTGGAAAACAATGAGCGAGAGAGACCAAATTCTACAAACGACGAATCGAACGATAGGGTCAAGTCAGCTATCAATAGATCTAGTTGGCTATGCTGTACTGTGGATGTGCGGAAAGCCGAGGTGCCAACTGTCACCTGAAAGAAATATCCCACTTAGAGTTTGTTTATGCTCTTTCTGACTTTACCCTGTCCATCATTTCTTACTTAGCTTCATGCCTACCAAATCCACTGCCAAATTCCTGGAACACGTCATGTACCTGAAAGAGCATCCTGGAATAAAACCGTAGTTTATTATGGCAGCGACGACACTAAAAAGCATCGCGTTAAAAGGAATACGAAACCGTTACAACGTACTAACCGCATAGTTGCATTTCCGTGTGGGTAGTGAGTTTATGAAAAAGACTACTAATGAAATTCGTCGTTGGTCATGAATCCACGTATGCACTGGAAAGAAATCTGTTTTAGGCACCATATCTTCTAAGCCTGAAGGTGAGAAAATATCACGTCCAGCTGCGCAACAAAATAGGGGACTCTACGGAAGGTCACCAACTTTTTGGGGTTGGGGTGCTGATACGTATGACCCAAACAACGTGAACTTCGCAAACAAAAAGAGCAGACCAAGTGTTCACCGAAGTACTGTGGAGAAATGTGTTTTGTGGCTTATGCCAGCTGGAACGCTGTGCACGTGACCACATCCACGGCTTTTTCTCCAGTTAGGAAACAGACATTAACACGTTCTGGGGTCTGATCCCAACTCATTAATTTCTGATATTGCACGAAAATCAGTGCTGGCGGGTATTTACTCATTATCGAACAGTAAGCATGACTCTGAATTATTCATCTAATTCACCTTATTTTCCCAATCCTCAATTTTCCTGACTGTTTGGTGCAAACTTGGGCGATCATCAAACGTTAGACGGTATATTAACCATCACAAAATCGTTTTGAGTAACATCAAAAGTGAATGTTTGGAAAGCTTCAAGTTTAACCATAAATGTAGTTCTGAGACCATCAGTCTCCGCGGTCTAGTCGTCGCTCACCTTAACATATTATAGCAGAATGCAGGCCAGGTATTGACAGGTTAAGTACGAATATTAGTTTTGTTTCAGGTTGCCTGAGTAAGCAACATTTATTCAACTGATTTTGTAACAGTTATCAGGGAGGTCACAGTCCTTAGAGCAACCATTGAACGCCCGAAATCTACCGGGACGCTAACCAGACAGAACGCCCCAACAAGCAGCGTGTCACAGCCTTGTATCAAACCCAGAAAGCGCGAGTCATCGTTGATCAAGGTCAGACAATGCCCCCGCAATATGCAGCATGTCACAGCCTCGTGCCAAAGCCAGACCGTGTGCGTCAGCACTGGACTAAGTTCAGACAGTGTCCTCCCAATAAATAGCTTGAGGCCGTTGTACTTTTCGCACTCGCACGCACTCACGCTCTCGCACTCGCTTGTTCGGAATACAGCTGTTGTGTTCTCTTCTGTGAGTCTTTTTTCTCCGGCATTAGGTACTGGAGCGGGTCAGCAGCGGACACCACAGACTGGCGAATCAGCAGATATAACAAAAGTATAGGAATATCAGTCTTACTCTCACACTGAAATGGATAGTTTCAGGCTAGCAACCTTGAATAAGGGAAATGCTGTACGTTTATTTGGTCGAAATATTGCAGAAGCAAGATGACCGACGGACCACAGGGCGCTGGCGTAAACCTGACGTAACACTACAGATTGTCTTTGAGGCGTTGGTTACTATCGGGAGGGTAAGACCCCTGAAAATAACCGCGGAATTCCCGGAATCTACTGAGACCCTTAACTCCAGCAGACACCGACCAAACAGCCCTGAATCAAAGCCAGACAGCGCTAGACAGCGTTGGACCAAGGTCAGACAGTGCCCCTCAATGAAAATAGCTTGAGGCCGTTGTACTTTGGTCCTCGCACTGGCTTGTTCGCAATGAAGCTGTTGTGTCCGTTGTCAGTGGGTCTTTTTCCGGCACTAGGCACTGGAGCGGGGACAGCAGACAGACAATGCAGTGTACACAGATGGAGAAATGTGTTTTGTGGCTTATGCCAGCTGGAACGCTGTGCACGTGACCACATCCACGGCTTTTTCTCCAGTTAGGAAACAGACATTAACACGTTCTGGGGTCTGATCCCAACTCATTAATTTCTGATATTGCACGAAAATCAGTGCTGGCGGGTATTTACTCATTATCGAACAGTAAGCATGACTCTGAATTATTCATCTAATTCACCTTATTTTCCCAATCCTCAATTTTCCTGACTGTTTGGTGCAAACTTGGGCGATCATCAAACGTTAGACGGTATATTAACCATCACAAAATCGTTTTGAGTAACATCAAAAGTGAATGTTTGGAAAGCTTCAAGTTTAACCATAAATGTAGTTCTGAGACCATCAGTCTCCGCGGTCTAGTCGTCGCTCACCTTAACATATTATAGCAGAATGCAGGCCAGGTATTGACAGGTTAAGTACGAATATTAGTTTTGTTTCAGGTTGCCTGAGTAAGCAACATTTATTCAACTGATTTTGTAACAGTTATCAGGGAGGTCACAGTCCTTAGAGCAACCATTGAACGCCCGAAATCTACCGGGACGCTAACCAGACAGAACGCCCCAACAAGCAGCGTGTCACAGCCTTGTATCAAACCCAGAAAGCGCGAGTCATCGTTGATCAAGGTCAGACAATGCCCCCGCAATATGCAGCATGTCACAGCCTCGTGCCAAAGCCAGACCGTGTGCGTCAGCACTGGACTAAGTTCAGACAGTGTCCTCCCAATAAATAGCTTGAGGCCGTTGTACTTTTCGCACTCGCACGCACTCACGCTCTCGCACTCGCTTGTTCGGAATACAGCTGTTGTGTTCTCTTCTGTGAGTCTTTTTTCTCCGGCATTAGGTACTGGAGCGGGTCAGCAGCGGACACCACAGACTGGCGAATCAGCAGATATAACAAAAGTATAGGAATATCAGTCTTACTCTCACACTGAAATGGATAGTTTCAGGCTAGCAACCTTGAATAAGGGAAATGCTGTACGTTTATTTGGTCGAAATATTGCAGAAGCAAGATGACCGACGGACCACAGGGCGCTGGCGTAAACCTGACGTAACACTACAGATTGTCTTTGAGGCGTTGGTTACTATCGGGAGGGTAAGACCCCTGAAAATAACCGCGGAATTCCCGGAATCTACTGAGACCCTTAACTCCAGCAGACACCGACCAAACAGCCCTGAATCAAAGCCAGACAGCGCTAGACAGCGTTGGACCAAGGTCAGACAGTGCCCCTCAATGAAAATAGCTTGAGGCCGTTGTACTTTGGTCCTCGCACTGGCTTGTTCGCAATGAAGCTGTTGTGTCCGTTGTCAGTGGGTCTTTTTCCGGCACTAGGCACTGGAGCGGGGACAGCAGACAGACAATGCAGTGTACACAGAATTTGGCTCGTCTTGTTGATGTCACTGGATTCTGAGAAACATTCTGGAGGCTAACGGTCAACGTTATCCCGGAGAATTCATCCTGGCTGCATTGTTTAAAGCACTTACCTCCTCAGTGCAAAGTCAGTGCCTCTTGAAGTGAATTAGCCTGAGGGATAGCAGTAACAACGGTGCTGGTTCCTGGGTGGTACACAATTTTTTCGACCCCATCTTGTATGCTCCGCAAACTATCCAGTAATCAAGTCAGCTACGGTTTGAAAAAGAAACATCTGTTTAATCTTCGCGAACTGAACGCTATTGTTCAGTTTGGTCATTATTTCTATACCCCAGTGCGTGAACACCAGAAAGCGTGGGAGGATTTACGCCTCGATACCTAATCCACTTTTTGTTGAACTACACCTTAACTTGGAATTACCTGTATTCGTGCTTCATAGCTTGTCTTGAGCTCAAAGATAAAATCCACGGATCATTCCCATATGAGCCCCGCCGCTAATGCAAAAAGTGCATGTGCGAAAAGTTTAACCTCCGCCACTTTTTGCCAGCTCCAATTTAATGTATGCACACAACATTGACCTATTTTTGAGGAAAACAATTCCTTATCTGCATCTAGGTTCATTTTGTGCAAAAAAATTTTCGTTGAGACGTAAATCCTTAAATGAATTTTCTGACGTTTTCAGCTGTCGTTCATGACAAGGAGAAGGCAATACGTATTTGCGGCGGCCCAGGTCTACCAGTCGAGGTCGATGAAACGCTAATATCTTCTCCGTAAAAACCACTCAGGGTGAGTCCTTCCCCAGCAGTGGATTTTCGTAGGGATCTGCCGGAGACTGAAGAGGTATTCATGTATGCAGTGCCAGATCGAACTGCGGGCAATTTGATGGACACAATCCAGGCCTGCATCGCCCCCGACTCAGTCATCATCTGCAATATGTGGGCATCATACCAAGGAATTGAAACGATGGTTGACATGAATTATATTCATGAAACGGTTAATCATACCGAAAACTTCGTGCATCCAACAAATGGATCTCACACACAAACTATTGAATCTCTTTGGCACGTCAGGAAGATACAGAATAAACGCCAATTTGGCACACACCGATGTTTAGTGAACAACTGCTTGTGTGAGTTCGTTTGGAGGCAAATGTACCGAAAAACGGACCTTTTCATGCAAATTAATAATGACGTCCCAATTTCACCCTCTCCAATAAGAACTAAAAGTACAAATTTCATATTCTCTTTTTTCTAATCTTTATGGGTGGCGGGGTCAATTTTTTGGCGAGGCTTATCTGAAAAAAGATTCAAATCCACTTGCACTTCTTCGTTGGCGGTACCGTATTGCTCAATAATCGTAGGCGCATGCAACTCAAAACAGCTCACATCCAATTCATGGCGTTCTCTGGATGTATACATGATTTTAGTGCACTGTAGGTTCCAAATCCCGTTTTCTGTTTCAGCACCGCTGTTTGCCTGAAGTCCCATAGTACTGAAACAGATGAACCGCCGCTCCGTACTGAATCACTGCGGCCAGATTGAATAGCGCACTTATTGGCCAGCTGATCGCGTCAAGCCCTTCGGCACACCACTACATGTATTTGGTCGCACACCTACTTGGATATCCACAATACTGGCGATGCCATTGCTCCATCCCCAAACTTGAGGACTCGGGTTGCTACACCGAAATCACAAGACCTGGGCCTCCAGAGTCTAGCGACCGCCCAACGGCAAGCACAACCAAATGTTCACGACCTCTTGCGTAGTTTCAGTGTGCAAGACAAGCAAAAGTGGCTTAGCAATACATCGAAAAGAGGGTACTCGACCAGTTACGTACATATCACGCGGACATAGCACAACCTGTTTTGGCTACTTTGACGCAGAGCACGCTTACGTCTATCTGCTTCGCCTGACAACCAAAAAAATTATCCTAAAGCGCATGTCCGGAAAAAATCGTCCTGGGGAAATGTCAGCTTCGACACCAGGACGCTGCACAAAATTTCACATTAAGAATATTGTCCAAAGGCAAAACTGATCAATGATTTCTGATTACTTTCTGTTAGCCTAAGGATATCCTTTTTTTGGAAAAGTTGACGATTTCCCCCTGTGTTCTAAAGCACCGTCAGAACGATGGTGCTAAACATCCATATTTAGAAAGGGAATAAGTTTCATTTTTGGCTGGTTTTAAAAAGCTACCCTATGAACTGCCACCTTTCACCGATCGATGCACACCCTTTTGCATACTGGTGCAAATTTAGTGTCTCTAGGGTAGTTGAAACATCAGTTTTGAACCAGTGATCACCCGTTAGGGGTTTTAGTTATGCTTAAACGATTCTTAGACCGGAAGATAGTACGTCTCCTGAGACACCAGCTTTATCAGTCGCTTTCACTCAATGCAATCACCAGATAATAAGTAATTAATAGTCAATAACAAATCAATTAGATAAGTATAATTGCAATAATTAGTTAATAGTCAGATAATAATTACACATATACTGCATCACCAGTACAGTATAGAGGAATGACTCACTCTTTTTTTATTGATTGTGCCTGTTTCTCTCCTACTGAAATAAAAGAAAAGAAACCGTTTCTCAATACCACCCGTAGAAAGTTCATTTGAATCCAGAATGTCTGGAATGGTGCATGAACTAATCAACCCTTTAGAGCATGATCAAAAAAATAATATCTATTCAGTGGAGACAGGATTCACTATCCGTTAGACTCTGGTTCCTTTCCGTGATTTACTTTAACTTTTTCGCTCGCTGGTTTTACTTCCTGGTTGTATGTCCCAACAGCAGTAAGCGTTCGGAGCCAGGTTAGTTTAGTGGCTGATTCAGTGTTGAAAAGTCTTTGATACTGCACTGCTTGAGTTGTAATCAGTGTCCTCTATAGAATGTGGTGCTGAACCAACATTCAGTACCAGTCTTCCAACTCTGTCTTCTCAGGATATTACAACCACTCAGACGAGGCGGAAGCAGTGTAAACAGTTAGTCTCAATAGTAGGGATTGGCATACCCATCCGTGGAGAAAAGAAATCATCAGCAGAAAGGTGCAGGCCGGCAAACAAAGAAAAACGACCGACTTATCGGTACCTTTGGCCCATTCGAAAAAGAGGACAAAGTTATTCTTTGTTCCTCATCTCGCTGTTCAAAATGACCGGGGTTCGTTCAGCCGGTTGGTCAACCAGCTGCTGACCATGATCTCATGTTGGGTTGGAGTCCAAAAATAGCCATGGAAATCCCAGTCATATGAGGTCTAAAGCTGATCGCGTTTACATAAAGGAAACTACTCATAAGATTGCTGAAAACTCTTCGACAGCCCACGACCAATTCCGCCCTTCTTGAGGCTCATCAGTTAGGCTCAGTCCCCGAGGTTTCGTCAACGTTATTTTCTACTTTAACCCAAATTGCTCTGTTTTCGAGAAATACACTCATTTGCAAATCATTTTGGTTTTCACGAGAGACTCAAGTGAATCTCATTTATGATATTCTACAACTGAATGAGCTGCACACAGACTGCCTCATGTTTCAGTTGGGATGATATTCAAGATATCGCAGTATACTTTCATAAAGGAAACTACTCACCTCTTTGACAGCCCACGATCGGTTTCTTGGGAAATGAAACGATTCCCTTTTATTCCAGTGGTTGGTCTGCTCGACAGAAATATCATTGATAAAAACATCCGTGCTACAAAATTTTTTCTCCGTCAAGGATGCATCCGCTTCTGACGTTTTTCTACTGGCTTGAGTATAGTCTCAATTAGTTGAATGTGAGAATTGAGGACGAAATGTACTACTCGTTGGTCTGATGACATACGTTGACGAGTAAACCTTCAGAAGTACCCCATCATGAAAAGACTTCTTGTTTCCTGACATGAACATAGTAAGACTGAGTGTAATTCTCAATAGCTGATGTATATTCGACCGCATTAAGTTGGATAAGCATATGCTCTCTGGTCCTGTATCGTTGCTTCATCACTGCCGAAACTCATACATCCAGGATCTTTTGGGTTCCAGGCAAGCAATGTTTGGCAAGGGTTTGAGTAGTTCAAGGTCGAGCCACGAGGCGTCAATTTTAAATATGTTGGACTTTAGTCAGCATAATCATAGAGCCATACAGTCGCCCATTCCTAAGCGTTTAATTCGAATACGATAGTGCCTACTGCTGGGATAACAAATGAGATGTCGGTGAAGGAATACCCATCGTGATTAAAACGTAAGCTTAACTTTCGGTCACTGGGTCGAGTACAATGAGGAGATGCGTTTGTAATGAAGATGTAGAGACTGAATAAGGCAGAATAGAAGAACACTACTTACGCGCACTTCGCAGTCGACCTTTGGATCTTGACGTGGGCGTGGGCCCTCCTGAAATCAAACAAAAATGAGAAACATTCAGAATGAGGCTTTCGAACTAACTGGTTACATCGAAAAAATAAGACTCTTTCGGGTTTATTCGTAACGCACTACTCATAAGATTGCTGAAAATCCGTCGACGGCCGACGACGGGTTTCGCCCTACCAAATTAGTTTGCAAATGAGTGTATTTCGTATCTTTCAGGTTGCTTTTTCGCCTTCCCCTCTTCTCACACTAGGCAGGTCACAGGCCACAAAGAGTCTAAGTGAACTCCGCCGTGCAGTATATCCAAACACGTGTACAGTTTCTATTCGACGGACATTTCGTATTGCAGTTTACGTATTTGAATACAATTGCAGTCCGACAGATAAAGTGCAACCGGAAAAGTACATAACTGTCTCCTCAACGAGCGGTAAGCCAGGTAGAATTGTTTAATTCATACCCGCATCCCTTAAGTTCATCAGAACGCAGATTACATACGCACTGATCTAACTCATTCATTATGCACGTGTGATTAACAAAGTTATTGTGTAAACAGCTTGTTATGAGTAAAATTTGTTGTCCCTCTTAAGAGTGACAAAGATGTGCCCCGCGTTTAGATATTTACTCTTCGGCTCACGAGTAGCGAGAAGCATAGCGATTCCGTGACAAAAAATACTACTAATAAGACTGTTGAAAGCGCTTCGACAGCCCCTGTCTGGTTTCGCTCTTCTCAAATTAATCAGGTGGTTGAAACTCGTGTGTTTCCTTCAACCCTAAGGCTAATTGAACCTATATTGTACTGGGAGGCTCTACTGAATTTAGAGTTCTTCAGCTGAGTGTGATGCACAAAGACAGCCTCATGTTTTAGTTTGTACGACATTCACCAAATCACAGTATATCTTGTCGGCGAAACACTACTCATAGGGTTGCTGAAAATCAGAGCAACTCCCTTTGAGAGGATTCGCTGCTAGAGTACCGATATTTGTCTAGAAAGACGCAACTTGTAACAGACATCAGTTCGTCAAACAATCCATTTATCTACTGAAAATGTGTGTGAAAATCTTGTGAAAATATTCATCGGCAACGGCCTAAATAAGCCTTATGTTTAGTTCAATGAAAAAGCAGTCTGGAAGTTATCCTCAAGCGATCATTCCTGTTCTTCATGAATTATTCCGTGTACGGATAAGCCAGGTGAAATCCTGCATACGCTTGGACCAATGTTTTACTTAGGCGCAAAGTACATGTTCATATAACTGGCTTGCTTGGTGACTATGGGCAAGATGTATGACCGCTGTTAGCATCACCAGTATTATTACTACTTCTTCCAATAAGTAGTATAGGAGCACTGACCCTAAACATACATTTGGAACCGATCATTTTTGGTCTCGAATGCTACACTATACACATGCTCAATAAATAGTTCATCTGGCTGTCCGTTTGATGATTTCTTCCGAAGGTCAGTCTTACTAGCACATGAACATCACTAAATTTGATGAGAAAACTGATCACCCAAAAATAGTTGACAACAGCCAACTACCTCCCAGGGCTTAATGGTGTTCAATCCAGACAAACCTTTGACATTTGGACAGCAGCACCTGAAATTAGGATCTTGGGAAACTCTGGTTCACTAAGAGTTTAGATATCTAGCGGAGGAGAAACCGTCGTACTAGATTATGAACCGTTTGTGGACCGAAGCAGCAGTGTCAAGCCAGCTACCAAAAACGGGAAGCAAATAACCGTCGGTACCATGATTCTGATTTTTTTCTAGCTCCAGACAAGCTCTTCGTGTTCACTCCGTCTTATCCTGGCATCAGTAGGAGTTTCTTGGCGTTTCAACCTATTAGCAGATACAGGTTGATGAAATATATAGTCTTATCCACTCCTAGAAGTCGTTGACACCCAGCGAGTGCAGTGACAACCAGGCTATGTCGAACACCACATTATTGATGCACTTTCCAGCAAGGCTACAGGGCACGTCTTGTGATTTCAAGTTTGTGCACATTTCCAGCTGACTGCACTTGAGATGGATTTCGCGAATAAATTGCCGAGTTAAAGGAAACTACTCACAAGTTTACTGAAAACTCTTCGACAGCCCCCGACCGGTTTCGCCCTACTTGGAACTCATCAGGTAGGCGCAGTCCCCGAGTTTACGTCAACTTTATGTTCTACGAGTTAAAGGAGGTTCTGAAAACTACAAATATCAATTTGGCGGTCGTGGCAAACAAACGTATGTTGAAACGACGGTCAAAATACTGTTATGCAGTCCACCAACGAAAGCGCGTTCATTCGGCCGTTTCTGAGTCGACCTTCATTCCACAAATAAAACTTCTGTTGCTCGAAAGAAACCAAGTGCAGGTTCAGTGTTGAAAACTCACAGCCAGACTCTATCCCGCTAGTTTATTCCGCGCTGCAACATCATCTGGCTCAACAGACGTTGAGTGTTGGACCTAAAACTCACCAAATCCATCCAATTTCTTCACTGCGGGCTCTAGCTTACTGTGTTTGAGACACCAGTATCTTCCCATGCATGCTGTTGGGTTCCCTTGATGGATAATCGTGGTACAACTTATGCCTTGAGGACTGTGTGAAGGTACTTGTTCCAATCAAACCTATGATTTTTTAGTAATTTGATAAGTGGGAGATAGAGGAATTCCAACTTCTTACTTACTAGGTGTTTTGTAAGTAACATAAAACGGATTATCCGTTGTCCAATCCCATTGCAACACTCTCCAGGCCAAGTTCATCTCTGGTGTGGCTAAGCTTTCACCAGTTTCGCTTGAACAACACAGTTGTTGTAGGATGGCCAACAATGACCTCCGAAATGCCTAAAAAGAAGAAAGTGGGTCGATTATCGCCGCTGCTACGCATAAAAACGACCAGAAATATGGAGAGTCGGCCTCTTTACTAAATCCATCTGTTACACCATTTTCTTCTCTCATGATCATTTTACTAGCTTCGCGAAAACAGAAAAATGACCAGAAGAATAACATGAAGCACTGGAAAGTGTTTGCCGGAACTTAGAGTCAAGATGTGCTTACAAAAATTATCGATGCACCGAAGTATGCTAATTCGAGAAATGAGAGGGTCGATTGGTGAGTCAGTTAGGTGAGAAGAAATCCATCCAAATCGTTTACATCCGCCTAGCATAAATTTAGACGACTTCATATGCACATATTTTTGGATTTCCGTAAGAACACTGGGTTTTCTGTCGGTCTTCTGATAAATACGTCTCAAAACTCCGGGTAGTTGAGTAGAATTTTCATTAAATTTTTAAACCTTCTAGTTTCCTTCAATCTATAGCTCCCTTCCCAATTTCCCCAATGAAAAGTCAACTGACACTTGTATTTAAGCATCCATCATGTCAGGTACCGCCTCCAATGCGCAGCCATTTATTTCACCTCCTTAAATCATTGGTGAACGAAACTGTGGAAGCTATAACCACTGCATTACAGGTACGGTTTTTTTCAAAGGATGGTAATGGTATGTCCGATTACCGTTTCGTTTTGGACCAAACCTTTAAATGAACAACACGCTGACTGCTTCCGAATGAACACGGAACTCCATATAGGTTTCCATTGCTCATACTCTGTACTTTGAAATTCAGTCTTTACTGTACTCTGCACTACTGAAATATAGGATGAATTCTAAACCAGAACCACTGAGCTTGAGACGGTTCAGTGGTTAAGGCGTGAACTTGCTGCTCGGAAAGTCCTTGATCGGATGCTCCTGCCTAGGTTTGGGCCTCAGCCCTCATATTTCCTTCTGGTAGCGCGATCCCTTGGCACTGCAAGAATGTTACAACTGGACGAGTATTATTATTAGTACGTCAATACTGTAATTATTTATTGGGCCACTTCTCTTCAAACCGGGGGAAATGATAGTTTCATGGGAAATTGACCGATCATACACTTCTCTCACACATTATCCTTTGTTTATAGCTTTTACCCAGATGGTGAGTTCTATGGTGTCCACAGCTTTTGGCAGTTTAAATTAAAGTATTTCTTACGAAATGCTCGGGCAATAAACTTTCCACTGAGACTACCAAGGAGTGTTATTTCAATTAGTTGCCATATTTTAGTCAATAATTCATTCTGTAAGTGAGGTTAGTGTGTATTGGAAAGCCCAGAAACGTTGTAAACTTGTTTCACCTTTATCGGAAATCATCAGCAGGGTGAGTTTCACAATATTTCAATTCGTTCTCGAGTTTCTATCCTTGTTTCAATACAATAATAACTAACTGGACTAGTTCCCTTCTTTCTGTATTGATGATGAAAAGTGGATATCTAAGCTGTTTGAGTTTCACTAGAAAACATTACTTCATTGACGTCCGAAAAAAATATTGATGTGTTGGCAATCTGAAAAGAGTGAACTTCTCTTAATGATTTTTTCATACAATAATCCAGGCAAGCGTGAACTGATGCAACGTTTTAAGAGTGCAAAAAATGACAGATCTTCTTCTGTTCTCTTGATACCGAATCAACTGGCTGCCAATGTCTTTTACGAATCCTCCATCAATGCAACATCCCTACGCAAACTCAGCTGTCTCGTGTTGGAGCGTTCTTTGCTACACTTGATCCATGACGTTACACGGAGGTGCTCCGTGTTACCGGTATTTCTAAGCTCTTCCAATCTGAAGGATGTAAGTTCATTGGGTTAGTGTGATTGTGAGCTACACTGAGCAGTAGATAGGTCTCTAGTTTGGGTATATGGGTTGGCAACGCACGTGAAACTCAAATGACATCGTAATAACGCTGACGGGTCAAATCATTGCCCTATTGCATTCCTCGTAATAGGAATAACAGTTCCATTTGGAGCAATCGCCTGTGAACACCGTTATTGAAGCCACCGGAAACAGCAGGTGTACTTCAGAATAAATTGAGTGGAGGAAGGTATTGAAAGTATGCATATTTCTCACGAACCTAGTGAATACGTCGTCTGAATCCTTTCATTATTCCAGAAGATTCTTGTCCTAACCCAAATTCCAACTTGAATAATGAGGACGGAAATGAAAATGAGAACGTGCCATGGCCGGCTCTCAGCCGTCAAGCCCACCATAAGCAAATTGACTTTTCAGGGTGGGATGAACAAACTGCTGAAGCACTGAAACCGAGCTCGTCTTATCCGGTACAAAAATACTGCTTGTTTCAGTTCGTGCACTGTCTTTAGGCATGTACTCACAGGAAGCTTCAGCAACAAAATTCCAACGATCTATGTGTCGGTGAGTGAGGCCCTTTGAGCTTGTGAGAATGAGTGAAAATGCCACTTGATTACGCCGCGAACATATCTGGAGCGTACCCATTTACAACGAGTAACTCAGCAGAGTTATTAAATCTGAGGTGTCTCGTTAACCACATAGTAACTCCCCACATTTCTGGTAGCAAATGCTACAACGTACTCAACTCCATGTCACTTTTTACAACATAACACCCATAGGATTATTAAAAGAATGGGCGCAAATCTTTTCGGAAGTGTTCGCAACAAATTCGATAGATGAACGTTTCGCTTTCGATACAGAGGCTGCGTCGGGCGAAACAAGGGACGGTGCACTTTGTACTTTCAAAGCACCACGAGACTTTATTAAGCATATACGTAAACAAAATAGTGGCCCTGATTCACTGGATGCAACGTATTTTAATTGCAAAATTAACTCAAGTGACGATGCTTTCATCCGATCGATATGGGTTCGTTTCCCATGCTCTAATAGCTGAACTTCTTCGTGCACAATTTAAGGAGCTAGTTGTTGTCAGATAGTTAAAAAAATTTCAGCTAGTCCTTGGTGCGAACAACCTGTTTGTGGTGACGACTGAGTACCTTAGGTTTTACTCGGAGTAAGCTAAATGAACAAAGTAAGTCACAAAAGGGAAACTGCGGCCTGCCGTCAGATTTACTGAACACAGTCCCCCAATAAGTGGATAGCCAGCTAGACGCTCCACTACTGCTATCTGGCCAACGTATGATAGGTGTCTGGATAAACTCAATCTCAGAAGACTTCGCCGGTTCAATGTAATCAACCGTCCTCGAGGGGAATTCTAACTTGTTGCTACTATCTGGGGATTGTCCACCACGAGACCGGATCATTCTTGTAACGGGTATTCTTAAATACTGACTAAGGTCGCTGTTTGTGTCATCCACTTTCGTTCCGAGCGTGTCGACTGGTGAGACAGTAAGTTGCAATAGCCCTCACTTCATTTATTCATGGAGGCTACCATGCTGTTATAAGCCTCACTTCACCACCTTTTATCGACCACTTCTCATTTCCTTCCGGTGTTCCTAGTCACTTCGGGGAATTCGGAGTGGTAGTGCATGACAGTCGTCGAGTGTGTCGAAGTGTTTGTGCCACCGCCTTTCATGTTTAAACGCGTAGCACAATCGTGTAGGAACGCTGTTTCCTTCTCCTTTCAAAAGATCAGCGTCGCGAGGGGGAGGGTGAGACAATAACATCGGATTGTTGATTCCACAACATTTTCTTGATATCCTGGTGGTTGATTTTGCATCTACTGAAGGTAAATGCGACTCTTCCCAATAAGAATTGAAGCTATGAACATCATGCTAGTATGAGCTAGTAGGAAAGCCAGGAACACTGTGATTTATGAGAACAAAAAAACATTAGGAGATAGTGGCATCGGTTGAACCGCCATTCATTTTCAACATCTGCTGAAACTGTCCAATCAACAGACGAAAGCCAAGAGGATACACCTATCACCAAGGCCAATATTCTCATTTTTGCTCAGCTAAGTTCATTCACAACAGTACACCCAAAACGTTAGACACCTGTCACCAGTGTGCTACTTATCGCAGCTTGGTTCTTTCAAAGAATGTCTACAGTCTTTCTCGCAACCAACACCACACAGATCATCTGACATACCTTAGAACCAATTGGATTTTCGAGAGATACAGCCTTGTCTGGAACATTCGTAAGAATCAAACTTTCGAGTTCTTTGCGTCTTGATGCGTACTGCTGCAATAACCAGTGAGCTTGTTGCTCACTCAGTGTTCCCGAGGAATCCTTGGAACTTGGAACTTGTTCAATACTGTCCGCCCTAGTGAGAATCGTTGGCCATTGTTCTTCATTGTACAGAGACGTATATATCCGGCCAAGGTTAAGTAAGCCTGCCACGATGGCGTGAGCACGGTTCCGCACACGAGTCGGGACTCTGGTCAAACAGCTGTTAAAGAAACGATCCTCGTCGCAAAGTTCCATTTGGTAGGCTTGTAATAAAGTTTCCGTGATGAGTGCAGGACTTGCTTGTCTTTGTCGTGGCTTGTTCAGTTTTGACAAGCGGGGTGACTTTTCCAGAGACGACACTGCAGGGCCCAGTGACTCAGATGTTTTTTCCAACAAAACTGGTGTTACGTGGCTAGCAGGTGAAAATGTCACGACTGGGCTGCCCAAAACGGTCACGCGATAGCCCAATGGGCTACATACTATCAAACTGAAGCAGTGTCTTCCAGGTGGGAGATTCAGTGATATTGCACGATGCGCATTTATATCCAAGCATTTGACTGGATTACCAGAAAGACGGCTGCAACACACTTTTTCGACAATCAGTCGAGCTTGTGGAGGGTTTACAGTAGCGAAAGAATGATCCAAGTCAGTGGACGCGTTCTGGTTTTGTGTCCAGTCTGCAAGTAAATGAAATAACTTGAGTAAGTCCACTCCTACTGTGTCGTTATGATAGCAGTTTGCTGAACAAGTAACAGGTTTTAACTGCCCATCCTAACTCCCGAGCTGTCGATCACCTCATGACAGCTTCATTTGACTAACCTACTTTTTCTGTCCTAGCAAATCGAATATTTTTACGCAACAAAAAAGTGGGGAAAATACCAAGTTTTATTCATCGCGAATCTTCACAGAGAGTCCAAAAAAATTGAAACCATGACTGAGTTATAGCTCGAGGAACAAATGGTTGCGGTGAGGCCCAGACTAACAGTAACCAGATGACTGCCTCAGAGTGAAAACCAGGCACACCAGGAGGTAGCAATATCTCGGAAAGCAAAGTAAAGCAAATTCAGGGTCATAAGACAACAGCAAAACTGCTAAAAAGCTCGCAGTGACTCCAGAAGACTCAGGGACAATTGCAATGGCTAACTGGAACAAGGCGCCCAACGGGTGTCACGACAGAGGTCACTCTGTTGATCAGGCTTCCATCCATATTTCATCCAGTCTGGCTAGTCGGAATAAACAACTGATCTTGTTTTAGTATCATTTCAACTAGACAACAAATAGGACTAACAGAGTAAAAGATTTCATAAATGAGGCATTCAGCTAACATCTAGGTGAGTTTCCGGTTAGCGGATGATTGCAGTTCGTCAACTGAGTACCATTCTGTGTTCGACTGAAACATGAAGTTGACGGAAACTTAGGGACTAGTGAGCCACAAGTGGGGCGAGGCCGGTTGTGGGCTGTCGAAGGATTTTCAGCAAATTCATGAGCAGCGTGTTCCGTCAAGAAGTAGCAAACGTCCCTTTAATAGGAATGTCATTTACTCCACTGAGTATATATTTCTATTCAAGCCTCGCTACTTTGAAAATAGGTAGGTATCGTTTTCTCTGAAGATGCCTGAAGATTCGAATGACACATCACAACTGTCTTAATGCAAGCCGTTATAATACGTCAAGCGGGACACACTGAATTAAACTCAAACCAAGCTCCTGTACACCTGCCAACCAGATATAAAAGATTGTACAAGTATGCCCCAAAACAGTTGTGTGTAAATTGGGTATTTCTGGTTTCAGGATGAGGAAGTTCGTCGGTTTATCCATCTATTAATCCAAGCATATGAAAGTCAGATACTTGCATGATTAAAATAGCATCTTTACAGATAGCTACACCTGCTGGATTAGGCCTCAATGAAAGCCACCGTATGAATATCTTTCTACATTTGTCTAAAAAAACACCAGATATTCAAAAAGCCACATGAAGGCATTGCAGCTCACTTAGCTGAGTTTATTCGCCCGGATGGTAATCACATAGAAGTCTATGTTAATGGAACATAACCTAAAACACGGCTTACCGTGATCAATAAATGATAGCATTTCATTAGTGCGTTTCCTTGGGCTCAGACTCTCCCACCAACCAATGTAGCACTAAGTGTCTGTGCCGGCACAGACTTACATTCGTATTCTCAATCTGATTCGAAACCACACAAAACCCTGTAGCAAATATTCAGGTGGCATTCTGACTGGATTCGGTGACGAAGTCTAAGCCGTGGATTTGTGGGCCGTACATCTTTGATTACTCGAAAAAGTGTGATTCTAGAGCACAAACAAAATCGCTCTCCAAATTTCTCCATGTCACTTTCTTGGCTAAAAGAATAGTTGGGATTAGGCAAAGTAGAACTAATATGTCACGGGCATGTTATCCTCAATAGCTTTGACTCGAATCTCTTGGACAGTGAAATAGAATAACGAGCGTTCAGTATCGCCACTTTCGGTTCCATCCAGAAACGTACGAACAAGTTCACATATCTGTAAAATCTTACTGCTATCCGACCGTTCCAGAGCAATTGCGCCATCGTCCTTCTTCTCAACGGTAGCTGAGTTTTTAGCTTCCACCTCGATTTCCGAGGAAGTCCGTTCTGTACTTTTTAAGAGAGGGGGAGGCCATTGACATATTGTTGATAAGCCGATTATTGCTTCAGAAGGGTGGATGCTGTCGACAAACAAGTACAAACCATTGATCGGAGACCGATCTGTATGAGTCCCAGCAGCCTAAAATTATAATTAAAAAATTGAAAATAGTAATTAAATACAATGACAATCAGTGTATGTCACTCTTGTCTAACCTCTTTTCAGACAATGTGGACACTATGGATAGTCAGTATTTCAAAATTGGTTAAGAATTTTGCTTTTGACGCAAACCAGTATCACCATTGGAAAATATTTATTCATCCCGTGTTTCATTAAGAAAACAAATGGTTCTAGAAAGCCGAATTTTCTCCCACTGAAATCTGCTCGAAATGCATATTCTAAGCGTAAGACAAGTCTTCTGCTCATTCCGCTACTAACCACAGATGTAATAAGACAGTGGTTTAAAACACGTTTGGCTTAGATCAAACTGGATTTGATGCATAGTTTAGGCTTCCTTTTTATTGGGGATGCTAGAAACATATAAACTCTACACCGAAAATTCATTCCGTGACGCTAAGTTCAGTTGGGGTGGTTCGTTGGGGGGTTTGTATGACAATTCATCGGTCGACGAAACATTTCAAACAACGTTGGAAACAAAAATGAAATTGTGTGAATGCAACTTGCTTGCAAGTCAGATGAACAGCACCAGTACAATCGTGAAGTCCTCCGTTAAGATTGTAGGCTGGAGCTGCTTGGTTTTCATCACAAACCAACTTAGACTTGTATTGTATCGAAATAGTCACAACCTCATGTCAATGAATCTGAGGGCGGATTTACCCAGAGTATGTTGCAGTTGAACAGAATAAGAAAGCTGAAACGGGTAGAACTCAGAATCACCTACTTTGACAACCTCATGTCAATGAATCTGAGGGCGGATTTACCCAGAGTATGTTGCAGTTGAACAGAATAAGAAAGCTGAAACGGGTAGAACTCAGAATCACCTACTTTGACTTAGGATCTGTCTGTACATTGTTTACCCCCCCCCCCCCCCAAACTGGTTTATTGACCAATTTATTGCCTTTTTGGTTGCATCAGGGAAACAAAATTGCCTACCGAGTCACCAGGCACACTAGACGTAGACACAAAACCTCACTATTTTACAAAGACGTAATAATTTACGAATAACTGGACAGATAACTATACTCCTCGTAGCATCTACCTCTTACAACAACCGTTTTCAGTTGCTTCCATTCTAACATGATCCGCGTTAAATCATATGATTGTTTATCCCCGGAACTACGTATTAAGTCTTTTGGCACATGAATTTTCACGCTAAGACACTATGAGTATCTGGCCTCATCGTATTTTGCCTCAATCGTGATCACATCACACAAGTGGTGTGGAAAAACCTACTGGACCTGGAGAAATACACTCATTTGCAAATCAATTTGGTTTTCACGGGAGACTCAACTGAATCTCTCCTTCATGATATTCTACAACTGAATGTGCTGCAAACAGGCCGCCTCATGAGTCAACTGGCACGATTTTTGAGATACCGAAAACACTCCAATTTGGGTTCAAATAGAACATAAGGTTGACGGAAACTCGGGGACTGTGCCTACCTGATGAGCCCGAATTGGAAGGGCGAAACCGGTCGTGGGCTGTCGGAGAGTTTTCAGCAACCTTGTGAGTAGTTTCCTTTATGAAAACCTATTGGACTTATTTTCGTGAAATAATTCAAAATCAGCCCACATTTTTTCACCAACTTACGATCATGTTTTCATAGGTTTTCTTGACAGGATATGTATGCGGTTTGTGATAGACGTCAATAGTGCTGTAAGATAGATAGAACATAAGTATGTATGATTGTACGAGCTTTAATTTGTGAGCAATCACGTGTGCTATGATGAACGTGTTGATTGGTTAGAATTCTCCAACTAGTCGAGGAATTCAACTCTAGAACAATGCTAGTTATCACAACCCTCCTCGGTTGACGGTCGAACCAAGTAAATCAGTAGAGACAATTGAATCGGACACCTAATTCTGTGTTTCAGATATAATACTCATGAAGATCACCTTCAGCTTTGTTAGCAACCCCCTATGGAAATATCATATATCACTTGTTTTGCCCTTGTACATGCAACCTGGATGTATCAAACTTGATATAAATGGTAGTCACACTGCTGCTGAATGGTATTGAAAACTTCATTCGTATAGTAGCTAGCTATAACAGGGAATAGAGATCAATCAAATAGTGTGTGTAGCTGAGGTCTCCATTTCAATGGCATATTACCCTAACCGGTGAAGCTGAAGTTACGAAAATCAATCTCCAGACTCCTCGGGCTTCTCGGACATTATGCAGCTGTGAACAAAATAACTATGCTGGAACTGAGGTAATTTTAGTTTTCTGATCGGCAGATTTCCGAATCTGTTTGAATGCCAGTAGATAACAGTCTGGACGCAGATTGTATTTTGAAGGATTATCCCATCCCACGTAATTAGCGCGGTTTTCGCAGGTACTTTTTGTTCTAGCAAGCCCTAGACTATCCTTAGTAGTCATATTGCTTGATCCACCACGCTGTCAATTCTTACGAATGACCTGGAAAATCGTAGGTTAATGTGTTCACAATGTAAAGACGCTTGTCCAAAATGATATGACTGCAGCTCACACCCGTACCGATTTGGTCGGGTTGTTTGAACACTCCAAATAATGCTCCAGTGGGCCAGAAAATTTTGTTTCAAAACGACAGTAGTTACCAAGCTTCCGTGGCATAAGCTGATCTGAAAGTCCTGATAGACAGGTCAACACATCCAGGACAGTAAATGAGTTGTGGGTTATGGCTCACTTATCACACTGCTCAAAACACTGACATTTCCGCCCGTTCAGACGCAGTAATTAGGATGTGCCCGGCACATCCTTTATGAGTGGGGAGAACAGGCCGGTCTGGCGTATCGAACAATGTGGCTGAAGGTTATCACTGAGTGTGGCCGCTAGTAAGAACGGAGTCCGAATCCAGTACATTCATCCTTTCGTACGATGTGCCAGATTATTGATAATAGTAATCGTGTTGATACTACTACTTATAGTAATCAAACTGATTTGAACGAAGAAAATACCCTCCAACTCAGCTTCATTAGTCACACCCGATTGTTCAAGATGGCCGTCTCAAATAGCCAACCAGTGTCACATGACCAGTCTTCGCAAGCATAGGTAGTGGTTATAACAGCCCGAAAGACCTTATGGGGCTGAGCTCCGAGTGAAACTCGTTGCGCACTCGAAAACAGGGAGATCACTTCACTCTTTCTGTGGCGCATCAGACTAGTAATTGGGACCGTATTCCACTGTTTCGTCATTTTGCTTATACTGCTAACAGGCTGCACCTTCATCTTTCAATTTTTTATCTTCGATCTCAGATCTATGTAGGGAGAGATGCGCACCCGTGAAGAAGGTTCATAGAATATCAGCAGTAAAGAAACATCCGTTGGCTTTGCAGCTCGAGACCAAGTGATTAACGGGAACCACGTTGGCATATTCACAAAAGCAAGGGCAGAGGGAAAGTGCGAATTTATGGAGGAGGTGTTTCTTCACTGATGGAGCAATAAACACGTGTATTGGGATCGATCAATCTCTGAGAAGGAAGGAAATTTGGGATCATTAGACCCTCAACTGGACAAGAAGTTGAAGAATAAACTAATAGAGCTAAAACAAAAAGCCCTTCAGACTGAAAGAAACGAATCCGATAACTGAATAGGTCAAATTATTTGGAGCTACACAGACGGATGTGTAAATCAATCAACTACGCTCCTAAAGATAAACCGCAATTTGGGTGTGGACAAACCAGGATGAAAACAATAAACTACTAAAAGTGGAAGGTACTTCATAAGCCAGCCAAATAACCGGAAGTTATAGCACAACGTAACACAGATGGAGAGCGGACCAATAAGTCTCCGAGAGAGGTGATCATTGACAGGCAATCAGCTTAGTGGTTGGCAGGACACGTCCAGACGTGCGCAAAGAACCACACGTCCCGTCGACCACGACATGTTCCGGATCAAAGATGCGTGGGCGGAGGTTACCAAACAAGCCCAGTAGTCAGCGGAGCGAGTGTGAAAATGCTCACCGCAGGAGCGCCATCATTGGCTGGACAAGAACGAACAAAGCGAGCGATCATATTTGGCCATTCAGCCATCCCATGTATTTGCGCACTAGTTCTGTATATTCTGACCTGACAGTGCAGTCGTGTTTCTGGTCTTCTGTCTTCTTCATATCGCGTAATGTGGCAGGCCCAATTCAGACGTAACCAATAGGCGGGTCCGCGATACAGCAGTGACTAAAGCTGATCTTCGCGACCCACATTAGCGCAAGCACAAAGAGAGGAACTGCCCTCCCAACAGCGCACTGATCTTGTCTCCTCGAATGGTGACGATGTCTGCTATTCAGCTGTCAAGCTCGGCGAACAGATCGACAGCAACCTGATCAATGTGTTAGAATCTCTTTTGTGAGATCCTAACTATGCTTATCTTACTGATTTGTAGCCTGGAACATTGCACACCAACATTGCTTTTATCTTATGATATTTTTTTATACAATCCTATGTTGTATATGATACAAACTAAACAAACCCGAGGATGGATGGGCATAATTTACGATTACAGCATGATATTGGATGACTTGTCCAGTTCACAATTCACTGGGAATATTACTTACTCAAACAAGTCACATATCTGGTCCATATTCAACCAAAATTCCTTTAACTGCAGCGCAGAATTCGGTGCCTCAATGTTTGATTCCGGGCCAAGTTCTTGTTCCGTTGGTTGAACTTCTTCATTCAAGGGTTCTTTGTTCTGCTGGGACTTTGCAGAGAGTGTGCCGGTCCTGGACACCCTGCGTAAATCTAAGAGGCGTCACGCAGTACAACATACAGCATGTTGAAATATCAATACCCAGTACTTGTTTGCTTTAATATTTATCGTAATCATACACCCCTGGTTTTGTCTAGTTCTTCTTCTCATCCCATTCAGGCAATCCGGGCAAATGAAACAGCAGGAAAAAAACGTAAAAACAATTTCTCTGAGATTCGTTCTCTCCCCGTGACATACTGTGAGCGTAGTCTAACTTTCTTTTCTTATCTAAAAAAGCGTACTCGGATTAGGTTTTGGACTAAAGAAAATGGAGATCACGCCGAAGGTACTTTTCATCAATAACCTAGATTAACCCATCACGAACGTCGTAAATGGCACTGCTTGCTACATCAAAGTGACGTTCTGACTTCACCGTGTGTTCTTTTACGTTGGTCGGCTGATTAACTAACTTCCTGAACCGTAGTAAGCTTCGAATTTTTCCACACTTGAGTGTCAAAATAACCTCACACTGGCAGGATCTGTCTGATTTTGAACCCGACAAGGTCAACCTGACAAGTTCAACACAACGACTTCAGTTTTGTCGTGGCAGAATAATCCACTCTACTTTTATCGACCTGATGCAAGAACAAGATCATGGAGATTCGTAATGTGCAACTCTCTTTTTCTTAAGAGTAGAAGCACGGCGTGTCTCATCTCACAAGTTTCACATATAAAATTTTCCAATCCCTAACGAGAACTGTGAAACCCAATGAAATTTGTTGCCTTGTACTTATTTTTCGTACCAGTCACCTTAGCAGGTGTTGAAATCCAAGATGGATAGGATGCGGTCATGGACACAAACACTGCATCCATCAGGTTGAATTGAAATCTCAATGCCATCCTCATCAATAAACTTTGGCATGTTTATAGATGTCCTCAGTGGGAACGCATATGGCATAAAGCCACACAATTTTGCTCATTCACGGGTACTCTTGAGTCAAGGAGGGACATTGGAAAACTTGTTCAGTACAAGACAGATAGTTTACAGATTAGGACGTTGCGAAGTTCTTTGATGGAGCTGCAGAATTTGGTGAGTCGGCTATCCTCCCAATCAGTAAAACGGATCTGCAATGGTCAACAACCCTCTGTTCTGCGACCTATCAGGTGCACGTCTACTCGCATTTTGCGACTGTAGTCGAACGGACACATTCTGAGTCTCCACAACGACATAGTCACGTGATTCCGAATTAGGAGCGTCTTGAATGTATATCCTTCTTCGCCTAATCCACTGCCGTGTCCTCTAACACGAATAGCGTACAACCGCACCTGTCCGCATGCTAATTCACATTCAATAAATCATTGTCGTGACTTGTGCAAAGCTGAGTTACTGCTCATAACCAGATTATTACTGGTTCCTAAATAGCCTGGCAAAATATTGATGAGAGGGCATACGATATTCGTGGGAGAGATGCTCAAGTGGGTTGGAGCGCGAATTTGCTGACCAGAAGGTCCGTGGTTTGAACCCGACCTCTGCCTCTCAACATCCTCTGTCTAGGCTTGAGCAACCTGGCAGCATCTCAGCCCTCGTGCTTCCTTCGGGTGACACGGTAGCTAGGCACCAAAAGGGTGTTGCAGCTAAGCGTTTTTTATACGTCATTTCCAAACTTAAGGGGCTGCGAAATTTTCTGCAAGAAATTACATGAAGTAATTTCTGAGATATCCAAAGTGGAGTAGAGATGTGATTCGAGAATGACTTCTTTGAATACTTAGCTTGTTATTGATGAAGCATATTTCATTATCTTATATTTTGACACATAATATGGATGGGTATGTAACTAATAAGTAGTATAAGTCAGTCGGTGAGTTTATGGTGAGCTGTTTTTAATCAACGCGCCTTTGTTTCATGAACTGTAATAAATTTCAACAGTTTTGTTCAAGATTAATAGAGGAAAAACCAACTAGCTTTGAGGAGGGGGACAAGGAATCAGTGGGAGTGCGAAAAATTAGTTTCGGAATGTAACCTTGTGTCATATCGCACTTTGAAGGGTTACGTTCATCTAAGGCAAGTTCTACTGTTGATCAGCTCATATATTTAAGCATTCGATTTAGATAAGTTGACCTAAAATGCATGTGGCTTCATTTCCCTTTCATAGATCAAGATAAAGTGCACTTTCTGACCAAGTTGTGTCCATTTTGTGGCGTTTTTCAGGAGATAGAAAATTATTGCAAGTAATGTGAACAACTTTCCTCTCCTCATTTTGAATCTCACGAACGAAATCATGTTGAGAAGTGTACGGTGAATCTGTTTTGCGCCCGCTGATAGCTCCTTTCCTGTTTGTTTTGTTTGATTTCATGTTCTTCGAATGTCAAGTTGATACGCCATCAGTTAGCTGTTTAATCGTCATTTCAACAACTAGATACTCATGGGTGGGATACTTTCTGAACAAAGACTTCCATCTGTCTCAATAGGAAAGAGAACCTTATATTAGGGCGTCGAGCAAGAATATGATGCTTTCTGTATGTTTTATCAATCAACACTATTAGTAGTAAGGGGTAAACTCCGATTTGATCGCAGCGTCTGGTCTTGTTTCCATTGAGTAACAGAAAAGCGTTTTCATAAAGGAAACTACTCACACGGTTGCTGAAAGCCCTTCGGCAGTCCAAGGCCGGTTTCGTCCTTCTTTGGGCTCGGAGTTTCCGTCAACATTATGTTCTACTGGAACCCAAATTGGACCGACTGCAACAAATACACTAAGTTGCAAATCAATTTTGTTTTCACGGGAGAAGCGTTTATCTTACTTTTTTCAGTTGGTGCAACCAAATGTTAGTGGTGCCGATATTGTGGTTCAAACGGGTGGACTTGGACTCCCTATCACATGCTCGCCAGTAGCTCCGGGAATTAACCGTACGGCTTTTCATTGTTCTATGAGGGGGTTGTGTAAGCTTTTAGCTTTTTAATGGATTATTTTTCCCAGGTTGCCAACTTCTCACGATACTTCCTTCTAACTGAAGTGGTTGATGTGTACTTTATCTCCAAGGTACAGGACCACCCGTTTCCTTAATTTTGAAGGGCAATGCTATAGACACATTGAACACTGTACCAGCCCAGATATTGGTGGACATACTTACAAAATGCACAAGAGACAAGTTTGGGTTGATATTTCTCAAAGTTATTCATGTATGAACTACTATGACCATAATGCGATTATTATTTTTACTCCACGGATAATTTTTAGAGTAACTTCACTTCTTATCACGCAAGCCGACACGTATCTCGTAGGTATGAGTAGCAAAGCGATCATTCATTTTGGACGTAGCCGTGAGTTTGCAAAAAAAATGTGTCTGTAAGACAGTCGGTCGTCTGAAAGTCTACATCTGGCTGCCAGTGGCTGAATTTCCCCATCTCCCCACGAATTGCACACATGCACCGTGGGAGGATAAGAGGTATTTTCAGCCCACTCGTGAAGAAAACCGACCTCTACTTGCTACCTTGAACGGTTACTTGGAGTCCACAGGGCTGCAGCATCTGCTGTGAAAGGAGCATGTTAAAACTACGCTTGATTGGACGCATTTTAGGGATAATCTTTTGGTGAACTAAAACACATAAAATGACTTCGGTCCTGTGGGGTGTACAGAATCTACTGGGGGAATCGTTATCCAAAGGAGAACGGTTTATTTGTCCTTTTTGTATTCTCTTCTGTTCTATCTCGTATGCAGAGATAACAACCTAAAGAGGACAGATCAGTGTCTACGTGAATGCCAGGTTATTCGTTACAGTTTATCCTTCGAACAGATAGTTGCACCACGCTCCCTAAAGTTTCCGAACCTGCTTCACCTGTTTCCAGGCGCCTGCTGTGAACTGGTCCCCGAAATGACCCAAAGTCTTCTTTCTTAGTGTTGCCAGGCGACCAGAAACCAAGAATCTTACCTACAAAATTCGATCAAAGTTCTGCAATTTTCCACCAAAACACAATCCATTACTCATCTGTATGAACACCAATCGTTTTATTCTTGCATATTCGATCAGTTTCTCCAAAAAGTTGTTTATTTTGCGCCATTCAAGTATCATAAGTCACGACATTTGCTTCGTTGGGTATTACTATATTGTTTTTACCGATAGTGTGAGGAGATTTGGTGATTATCAACAAAGGTTTCTCACGAAAGAAACTACTCACAGGGTTGCTGAAAACTCTTTGACAGCCCACTATCGGTTTCGGCCTTCTTGTGGCTCATCAGGTAGGCGCAGTCGCCGAGTTTCCGTCAACCTTATGTTCTATTTGAACCCAAATTGGACTGACTGTTTTCGACAAATACTCTCATTGGCAAACCAATTTGGTTGAGTCATTTGAGTCTCTCGTGAGAACCAAATTGATTTGCAAATGACTGTGTTTCTCAAAAAGGGTTTCATTCTGTTGCTGAAGCCAATCTGTGCCGATAAGCCAAGAAGTGCTGTTTAACTATTTCATGCTTTCTGGGAATCATCAGCAGTGCATATTTCACACAAAAACTATTACAAGGTGAGTGAAAGACGAGTGGGTGAGATTGGGTCACTGCAGCAGCCAGCCAGTATGTGACCACGTCATGTGGTTTCTGTGATTGAATAATGAGTGACGCTGTGTCCGCCCAAATGAGAGCTAATCACACTGATGATCAACAACAACCTGTGGCCGAAGGGTGGCCAGAAGGTCGAAGTTTCTCGGAGTTCCGTCAGATGCGTAGTGCTGGCGACTTCAGCGGCCGTAGAATGCTTCTAGGCTTTTTATCATAGACTGGCCTCGCTGAAAGGATAAAATTTCTACTGAAAACCTGTGCCCAAAATTTCGAATCTCAGCTCAACTTCACACGCCAAGAAGTTTGAAAACCCCTCGACATAGGTTCAATGCTAGAAGCAACTTACCTGGCTTATTCAACAGCGATTGTCCGCGCCTCTGTGAAAGAGAAAAACACTTATTGGGGAAATTTAACTTCACACGGGATTCACCATAGGTAAATCTAATGAATCAGTGGTCGAATAGTGAACATACCAATCAGGAAACTGAGAGATAAACCATAAAGCGGTCATATATTTAGGGACAGAAGACCTCATGTGGATTCCTCCGCATTTCCTAAGATGAGTTGATTAAAGTGCTGCCTTATCGTTTTGTAAATTTCTTGTGCTCGGATAAAATAAACGAAGTAATCGCAAGCAGTTACAGTGTAATAACTACTCATAAGGTTGGTGAAAATTCTTCGACAGTCCATGACCGGCTTCGCTCTTTTTGAGACTCATCAGATAGGCGCAGCCTCCGGGTTTCCGTCAGCCTTATGTTCTACTTGAACCCAAATAGTACGAAATCAGCGAAATCCACTCATTTGCGAACAAATTTGGATTTGCGGAAGACTAACCTGGAACCCAGCTGAATCTCTTGTTCATGTTTTTGAGCCACTGAATGTGCTGCACCAGACCGCCTCAGTTTCATAAACGAGGGATTCAGCTTGGTTTCAGATGAGTCTCTCGCAAAACCAAATTTGTTTGGAACTAAGTGTATTTCGCCAAGATTCACACCTTATTGGCTGCGCGAACCAGCCTGCAAGCGTTCGGTCCCGTTGCCGTTGGCATGAAACCGCTAACGAAAGGAGCATGTAAGAGATCCACCTGACGCGTCTTAATAAAGACAAAAGGTCTTGTAAACCAATTTTGGGGAACATATTCAGACGGCTGCAAGTAAAAGCACTGGATTCAAGAAAAGAATAGCCTATAAATTGGTCTTATGAAAGTGATGCGTCTATCTTATTTGGTCAACTTTGGGTTTGAGCAAGAAGCCACAGAAATTGTCAGATTCAATCACTTGAGGGATGCTCTGCGAACCATTTTTGCAGGATTTAAATGGATGCTGGGTTAAGAAGCATCAGAGAATTCAATGTGTGCAAATCGACAACCTCAAAATGAGTTCTTTATGGTACTGAAATAAGATCTGTTGACAGAAAATGCAGTACCTTCACTATGTCCAGGACACTGAAACCGGTCAAACGATGGTAAATCTGAAGATTAGTGGTTACTTCGAAGGCACCTTCTTCAAAAGTACGTAACCATTCCTCTCCCCCTGATGTGTACTCTGAACGGGAGGATGCTCTGGATCGTTTTGTAAAGCTTGATTGAACCGAAAACTATTAACACTATCAGGTTCATTCAATCTGGTATGAGAACCCAAGAAGGTACCAGAAGAACCACCTCTATCGAGTACAATATTGACACGGGTGTGAAGGCAGATTGAATTGGGCTCCAAAATTGTTTAAAGATGATTGGTGTGAAAGCATTTCGTGAATCCAAAGACAGTGTATCAATCCAGCTCCGTCCAGATGGCTACCTCTTCAACTCATTACTCTACTTGGCCCGACCCACATACTGCTTGTTGTGGATGACTGTGTTTTATTGGCACACTTTGAGGCGGATTTTCAGCAAATAAGCACAACATTTGTTCACTGGCGTCTTGCTTTCGTTTAAACATGAGTAGTTCTAACACACCGGTGTTTTGTCAGCCTTCTCTGGAGTTACACAAAACAGACTGCGTGTAGTCAAATTAATGGTTTGGATGTAGCGCGTTGTGAAACGTTCCGCGATCTCATCCAATCCGTATCCACGGACTTGACATTCGATGCTGAGCTGCATGATTTGGTAGACAAGTATTGCTTCCCGTCACCCTTACAGATGCTTTTAGAGAAACCATATCCTGCGCGTGGACACAATAGTCGCAGCCTGCCAGACTGTTGTACTATCTTTGTCGCAAAAAATGAACAGAAAATACCGACAGTATACCAGTATTTTTGACAAACTAATACTCTGCCCCTCCCCAACAGGCCTCAGATTCAATGGTCATATCGAACGCTGAACACTAGGTTTCTGAAACGAGCCATACTCAGCGGAATCGAGTGAGTATTGTCGCACAACCAGCCATGCTGGATGGGCTGCGTAAAACAGTGGCAGGTCAGGTGAACAAGGGAGCAGGACCTCACGGATGACCTAAATTCTGCTGCCTTGACAGCTCTCCGATGCGTTTGAAACACAGTTGCATACTTTGCGAAAGTCCGGAGAACTGCCATGAGCACAAGTCTGAAAGAGCATCGAGGCACAACTCATTTCAATGCTAAAACGTAGGCGCATCATTCAAATCACTCATGGAGTGTCAAGCACAAGGAGAGCCACCGGGATTTGTGCAACTTGTGTGCCCACATGCTTAAACAGAATCGGACTCGCAGGTCACCTACGCGCCCACCATAAAATATCTCAATGACCTCGTGAATTGGCTAAATACGTTCCCCCCATCCCTATCCTAAGTCTGCCGAAGACAAGACAGATCTGACCGGCAATAAACACACGTGTAACTGTGCTGTCACGCCACTCTTTTTCCTGGGTTTAATTCAGCATCAGCGGCCTGCAAGTAGAGCCATGCAGATGATGTTGAAATGAAGGCTTTCTCGGTGGCATTTTATAAGCTGTTTGTGCTTTTTTTATCCACTGGGCGGTGAGTGCTCTTACAATAGGAAACTACTAAAAGTTCCTGACTAAAACTACTTCAAGATTTCGAAAAAATAATGAAAGTATATGCTATAACCAAAAGAGCATAGCTTCATGACATAACACTTCAGGAACATTATGATTCTAACAGTACTCCAATTGGTTAAATTCTTACTGGTTTCTTGGTGTCTGACAGAACGCTGTCATTTTTCTCGGGCTTGGAGACAACATTCTCATCAGTTTTTGTCGAACCATAACAGGATTTATTCGGATTTTCTTGCGACAGGGAAGACATTTCTCGAGGGACTTCATTAGGCCCTGGGTGTTTTAGGCTGTTGATGCTAAAAAGCAATGCAAAATTAGGCGGAGTATGGCTTGTACGGAGGTTGTATTGTAAATCGCGGAAGCACATACATATCTAATGAAATTCAGAGCAGGACTAATGACGGACTTACATGAGTGACCAACGTCTCCTGATCCCTTCTGACCGAGATGCTAGGTCTGATGAGATTAGATATTACCGACTTCCCATTTCCACTGATTCCCTAACCTTTTTTGCTTCCACCAGGTTAGGACCCACTTAACTCAATGATTCACAGTGGTTTTCTATAGAGGAAAATGCCAGTAACTCAGGTAGCGTAGATGGTCGTTGGCTTGTTCGCTGAGCGGGGCAATTTGATTGCAAACGTTTCATCACCAATCGAGGTGACATCATCAGTGCGTTATTGGGGAGCTTGGTGGTGCGTAGCGGTGGGTTAGTGGTTGTGCCGAGCTCAGCGAACAAGCCAGCGACCATTCACACTGTTGTTGGAGCAAACGATGCTCTACTACGCTTTTGGGCACACTGTTAACTGACTGCTGACCTCCGTGTTGAAGTGCTTCACTCAAGTTGTTTCGAACCATAAAAACGTAGGATACTAGTGGATGATCTTTAGGCAGGGAGTTTGCATAAGAGCTTCGTTACCAGAGTAAAACAAAATTCCAAGTGCAATAGAGTGGTTTTGGAGGGATTCGTTCACGTTCTGAAAAGTGTGCACCAAAAAGCGTGGAAGAATGTCTTCTTGAAGGAAACTACTCACAAGTTTGCTGAAAATTTTCACAGGCGTTATTAACGACATCCACGAACTTTGGTCAAAGTATATCTATTCAGAGTACCATGAAATGCCTCCACAAAGGTGTCATCGTTTTATTATACCTGAAGGATTACTTTTTGATAAGTAAGCCCTTTTCAACATTTGCAGCTCTCCTTCGTAAGGAGGTCGGAGTGCCGAACGCTCCAATATCCACTGATACAAGTTACCTACTTGTACCAATAGAATGGGATTCTTAAGACCAAACTGTGTTGCTGGTTTATTTTTGTATCATGCTGTGTAAGTTGAAACAGTTCCAAATACTGGTCAGTTAGAGCATGTATATCAATTCAAGTAAATTTCATTTGATCTAATTTTTCTGTAAAAAAAATTCGGGGGCGTAATTACCAACCTCATCGTGTTATTGAGCGAACTACAGAGGTTTAATCGTCACGATTACTTAGATGACTTCCTCCTTCTGTTTAATGAAGCCTAACACCTGAACAAGAACATACTCTCTGTAACGCAGACATTTTGTAGCCATTTGACGTCAAACCAACCCATAGTTTTATTAGTAAGCATAGAATATGTAACCTGTCTATGTTTCTGTTTAAAGCCAGCCATTTGAAACCTAAAATACCGGGAAATTGTGCTTGGCTGAAGTAACAAGGTTGTTGGTAGTTGCCCTGAAACAGAATTGTTGAGCATATCCACTGTGCCATCGAGGTTTTTGTTAAACCGATCGCCAGTCTGCCGAATCGTTTATCGATCCACGCATCAAAAGTTACTGAACTCAAAATATTAGATAATAGTTGTTCTCAGGTAAATGCAGAATTAAGCTTTCAGTGATTCATTACGGTTAACCTAATTGAAAAGAAGTAGGTAGGGATTCAAACCAGTAGGGATCCCCACAGGATTATAGGGCTTTTGATACTAGCAGCAGTTTCGCATGGTTCGTCGAGTTCGATTCCCCTGTAGGGATTTATCGCGAGTTACTTCTTTGTGAAATTTATAGTCGTTAGTGAAATCTGGACGAACAAGCTTACTCATCCAAATGAAGAAGTGCCGGTGTTCAAAATGCACTGCAAAAAACGATATATCCACCCATCTAGTGCAGGTACCGCCAAAAGATCTGAGGACCAGTCAGTATCTTTTGCCGAACCAGGCACAATCAGCTCAGTCAGGTTACCACTTTTTGGTTCCGAAAATACCTCAGTGCGAATATGATGTTAAATTTTTCAGCGCACCGAGTTTAGGCGAGAAATCCTAAGGGCATATGACCTTTAAGGGTTTGAAGCAGGCTACCCGACGGCAGACACAGGCGCACATGCAGACATAATATAGACAAATAAGCGGGCGGTCAGACAGGCAGGCGGTCAGACAGTCAGGTCTTAGTTAGATAGGTCTGCCACATAGAAAGATGGACAGACAATCTGAGTGATAGAAACGACACAGACGGAACGAGAGATAGACAGGTAGACAGATGAATAGGAAGATAGTGAGACAGGCCATGCATAGCACGTAGATTGACAAACTCCCGTCAAACGGAGCAGACCGCGCAATGCTTATCTCAAGTAAAATTTGACTATGGATTTCACCTGTAATTTGCCACAGATTTGCCTGATGAACTAACAGTTGATATCTAGCAGCACTAACAGGGAGACTTCAATATGAATTCCGCAATAGACTTCGGTATCGTCCACCTACCCGAAGGTCTTTACTGTAAATTACCATAAAACAGAGGAAAGTTAGGTAGGTCTCCAAATGAAAAGATCGAAATTGAATGATTGACAAAAAGACACCCATTGTGATGGGCTGAATAAACCAGTCACCCGCATATCGAACGGGTCTTCTGCAGGTGAAATTCAAAGGCATAAGGGTACTGAGTAGCCCAGTGGACAAGTAGCCTGTCTGGTAGATGGGTGGTCAGTTGTTCGAGTCCCGTTCAATCCCATCTGTGTGCTTACCGGCTTACTTAGAATTCCTTTCAAGAGTTATAAAACTCTCTTCTACTTTCTAAGCTGTCGATAAACAAAGACTAAATTTACCTAGACTCAGGGGACTGCCGGAATATGGTGGAACCCACGAATGCTGAAGAAGCAAGGACCGATCGAATTGGCTCCTTTTCTTCTACGTCATCACTTGGCTTTTGTTCCTCAGACAGTGGGAAGTCCGCTGGTCTGGGTCTGATCAACTTCCAAGCCGGAACTGGTTTTGGTTCAGGGGGTAGCTTCAGTGGGATGGTTCGCACTGCGGTGAGACAAACGGGATACGAATCCGTATACGCAACTCCCAGCTGCCCAAGGGATTCCTCACAATAATTCTGTATCGAAATCGGAAGGAATTATTATACATTATTATGATAAAAATCGCATGGTGGGATAAACAAATGATTCCGAACGAACAACTTAATAACTTCATCACCTTACTTTTTTAGTGCATATTGAGGCCCAGCGTGTCTACTGCTTGTGAAAGCACACATTTGGAAAATGAGCAATTATAATAAATAATCGTTTAACTGCATCACCTTCTCGGGGCCCAGCTGCTATGCCACCCAGCAGAAACAAGAGGGCCGGGATGCTGTCGGGTTGCTCAAGCTCAGTGTTGTGTCGTGGGTGGCCGTCTATTGCTTACGCTCACACTGAGCCCGCCAGACTACGCGATAAGAAGGCAGATAGCCCTGGACATGGGTGTATTGTCAGGACAAAACATACACAGTTTCTTCGTAACTATATAGGATGACAAAATGGCCAAATATAGTCGTTCACTTGTTCGTTCTGTACAGCCAATGGCGGCGTTCCGGTCGTGAACACTTTCAGCTCCACTCCACTGGTCTTATGTTGCTAAGCCGTGTTTGGTGAGCTCCGCCAACGCACCTGCTTTCCGAATGTACCATACAGATGGTGACCTTGGGGATGCGTTACTCTCTGCACATGTACTTTTTCCATGTCTGGGCGCGTCCTGACACTCAGACAGAAGTCGAGATTCAGAGGTCGGTTCGAACCACGGACCATCCGATCTGTAAATTCGCACTCTAACCATCTCGCCCTCCGGACAATAGATACCAGGTAGTCCAGGTATTCGAGCAATTGGCTGTCGGAAAAGACCAAGCCGCATGTATACTGCGCGACTGACTACAGATGATATGCAAAATACGATCTGTCTCTTCTAGACTGGGGTCTAGCCTTTGGCGGCCTGATTAAGCCTTTATTTACTGGACGAAGTTGTACAGCGAACTGGATAATCCGAGCTTTATTTATGCTACGAATGGTTGTGAATTGTGGTAAACTTTTCGATTCAGTTTCGAAAACATCCACACTGCTACTGAACAGCTACCAGTCAGTCAATCTGTTGCTGTTGCTTCTTCGAATAAGTGACCTTCCGACTCAAGGTCAGTGACCAATCCATTGTGATAAAGCATACCTCTACAGCGATCAGTGAATGGATCCGCAGGAAACGTTTTCAACCGAAAGAGTTATTGAATTTAACTTGACGTCATGACCATTCCCCCCTATGTACTTTTAATCTCCGTTTGTTTTGTTCATCTCTACCCGTCGTTCACCTTGTGTATTAGCACGTGTGTCTGTGTGCGAACGTGCACAGCTTACCCATGCGCGCTCATGTCCCGTTAGCAGAGTCTGCCCTGACTTGTTCGCTCATGTAATTGCACCGCCAATGAGAATCACGAGACTGTCGTCGGAAGGGTCGACCCACACTACTGAGCCAACGTTCCGCTCGACGTTGGCACTGCACTGTGAGGGTTAGCGGCGGACTTGTGCTAATGTTGACGCTGCAAACATGGACGATTGAGGTCTGGTGTAGAAATTGGCATACCCTTGTGTAATTAGTAACGTGGACTTTTGAACCTACCTTTTGCTATTCTGGATTGTCGAATCTGCGCGTCACCCAAAATTTCAAGTTCACGGTATACTAGAGCAGTGATACTGTAGCTGATCGGGTGAAGACCGATTTCTTCTTTGGAACTCATTTTTAGCGGTCTTCACATTCATCTGACCGGATCAACCAAACATGGTCACCACAGAGAGTGGGTCGCTGTGGAGGGTTCCACCAGAAGCAGTGCGTCACCAATTAATTCATGATTTAAGCTATCACTCTCAAGTTCCGACACTGAATCGTTTGCTTCCGTTTCGGATTTACGATGACGCTACAACGCGTACAGTAGTTTGACACGTAGGTGAAAAATAATACGTTTTAATAGTGAGTGTGTTTTACTATCGCATGTCTTTCCCTGTGATATGCGACTCTCAACTCCTGTGTCCAAACAGCAAGAACAAGCCATTTATCAGCGCGTCACACCAGAGCTGAACATCGCGTGAACACCACAGACGGACATCGACGACAACGGTGAATCACGAGCGGAGCCAATCGGTGCGCTGGTTTAGCCTGCGGCCACTTGGGCCCACTGTGTGGGCGGCAGCGACGCGTGTGGAACGGAAAGTACGAACACAACTAAGCATGATTTAGCGAAATTCACTTATTTGTAAACAAATTCGGTCTTGCGAGAGACTCACCTGGAACCCAGCTAAATCCTTCGTTTATGGTGTTTCTAAGTAATTGACGGAAACTTGGGGACTGTGCCTACTTGATGAGCCTCGAGAAGGGCGAAACTGGTCATGGGCTGTCGAGGAATTTTCAGGAACCTTATGAGCAGTGTATTGCGTCTGTGCTTTACTTATTTGTAGGTGGTTGCTCGTACCCTGTCCTGGTGCAATCATTCTGGCGGGTCCACACCAAAGAGGGGGGAAAGCACTGAACTTGAGTTTCGCTCTTATTCTAGCCCATCAGCACTCCGTATCGTTGGTTCGAACTTGTTACCACTAACCCACTAGCGCATGTTGGACAAATCTGAACTTCTGAGCAGTCATACATGTTCACGGTTGAGTGATGTTATTGGTCGGCCCGATGGCTCGAACGATGGTCCAGTAACTGTCCTGGTTGTCGATCGATTGACCCGCCTATCAGGACTTCCCAATCAGGTAGGGTCACATACGCCGGAAACCTGCTAGACAGTTTTTGGGTTAGTTGTAGGTGGTTTCGGCATCACATCACTCTCGTTTGGGCAGTCGTCCTTCTGGCCTGACGCAGTCATTCTTGTGAGTCAGTCAAACTAAAGGCACAACATTGATAACCTACGGTCTGATTTATTTCTGGCATCAACTGTGGTGATTTTGTGCTTAACTTCACCTACTGTTTCACTTATTTGAAAGCGAATTACCTGCATCATGAATTGGATTATACCATTTGCCGTTATTCCTTGGGAAATAAGTCACCTATTTTCATATTGGTCCCATATTTTTCATTCTACCTTTACATTGTGGACTGACAGATGTCTAAGACCATGAATTCTTCTCTGGCGGATGAGTGGAAAAGAAAAATGTCAACCTATTATTCACGCCTTTGTCTTTCAGAGGAGAATATATGCAGGGAAAACTCCACACAGAATGTACTTCGTACTCTGAGTTCTCAGCTTATTCACTTGTCACAGAAGGCCTATGCCAGCCAGGAAATCAAATCAGGTCCATATTCAGTGAGGGACCACTACCTGAGCGCTGCGTCCCAAGGACATAAGACTAACTTCCACAGTTTTGAATTACTGCCATCTTCTGCAGCGAGTAACAAATTTACAGCAACTTCTTTTGCGAAAATAGGTATGCAGGGTGTTGATATTTTAGATACATGCACGTTTGATGATCCCGAGTAGCAAAAGGAAATTTTGGTTCAAGAGTTTACGGTTCCACTTTTAAAATTAAACAACAAACCCAAGATGTGCATTTTCGAGGCGTCAGCGCGAGTCAGTCAGTGCAGCGTCAAGATCCGCAAACCAGACAACAGCGAGGGGTAGGTAGCGGCTGTCCCTTCCGAGATCCGTCTCCTGATTCTGATTGGCGATGTGATCACGTCAACACAAGTCACAGCAGTTAGGACACGAACACGACGGATGAGTAAGTAGGTCATCCATGCACATATGCTTTTAGACTACCAGTGTCGGACTGGGCGGCCTTTGCAGCAAGGCGGGTACGGATGTGCAAAGCAGACGGGGTCAAAAGTACGTGAACGGATTGAGAGGTTATTGTGATGTCAAGTTAGATTCAACACAGGGCACCAGGTCAAGTATCGCTTCGGGTAGAACCATGTCGGACTATCATCTGTGTGCATCCGTCAATTCTGAGTGGTACAATGGAACACCACAATTTGCCAAATAGTGAAAACTGTTGACCGCTTTACGGGAATTAGTCAGTTGCAATGGACGATATTTAGGCTCTCAAGAGCAATCCTTTTGAAAGAACATGTGACACAGGACCATAAACCGATTTGTGGTACTTTTTTCCATCAAACTGCAACAAATGACGTAGAATGGTAGATATTTGCCAGGAAATGTGCATATTCGTCCACACATATCTCTAACAAAATATTGTCATGCTGTCAAAAGTGGGCTGCCTTGGTCGGCATATTTCAATGTTATTTCTCACGGACGGGTAAGATAAAACTGGTTTGTAATACTGTACGAATTAGTTACCAAGCATTTAAGTAATATTACCCTGCTCCTCTGGGGAGGTCACCTCTAACAGGGAACACATTTCAAATGTGGCTATCCTAATTTTATCCATGCAGGCAAAGTTTCAAAGTACTGACAAATGGTGACTTCTTCTGTAAAGTCATGTGACGATGATTTCAGTTGCTTGCGTTTGCCTTCCTTCCCATAATACGAGACAACTAACGGAATACACTCATCTGCAAACAAATTTGGCTTTGCGAGAGACTCACATGGAACTCGGCTGAATCTCTCTTTTGTGCTGTTTCTGAGCTGTACCGGACAGCCTCAAGCTTCGGTTGGTACGATAGTCGAGAAGGGGGAAACCGGTGGTGGGTTGAAGAAGCATTTTCAGCAACCTTGTGAGTATTGTATTACGTCTGAGACAAACTTTATAGGCTGTCACGTTGCCGGCATGCTCCACTGTTACATACTGTGAGTGTGGTTGTGTGGAATGGCATGTTTCTGTCAGCAAGAAACAAACGACAGAGGGCGGATAATTTTATCTAGCTTATCGGCGAGAACTGAACGACCAAGTATTTAGGAGAGCTTCTGTTTCCATACTGATGTACGTGGTGTTTGTTATATACTGTTAGATTGAAGCTGGAGTGGAGCTTTTGAGACGAATCCGAAATCCTGCTGTGTGCGACTATACAACGTTTTTCAGTCCGTCCCATCTTGTGCAGGGGACAATAATTCACATTACTGTGCAGCAGTTTATTAGATACATCAGAATCCATTTTCTGACATCATTCATCAATCTTTTGGCAGTCTTCAAGCCATTCAGATCACGTGCTTCAATCCATTCATCAGCAGTGACCTGCATTTTGAAACCTAGCTGAACGGTGATAATCCTCTGATCAGACAGTAATCTGTTATTAGCGAACTGGATATCGATTAGTTGAAAGCGACTTAGTCAATTAAAAGACAAATTAATCACCGATAATTGCTAGTGAAATTATTCGCAACCTGCTGAATATGTGGGTCAATTTAAATGCAAACGGGCATCCATTCGTTCGGACAGCTTGTATTGCTTGGTAAATTTCATAATCAAGAACGCTAACTTGTTTGAGGAGAATCTACTTGCTCACTGCTATGGACCTTCCTTAAGAGTGACTCCGTTGCATGGGAACATCATATGGCTCCTCACCGAGACAGTGGTCTGGTAACGACGATGCTTTTGCTTGAACAGCACTCATCACAGCGCCATTGTCATATCGCCTTAGCCATACCATTTCGAAGCTGTCGGTTCGTAGTGGGACAACTGCATGACATTGTGTGAGAATTGTATGTAATCCATATTGTATAATGTGTAGCTGTTTGCTGTTGGTGTTCCGTAAAATACGAAGGTGGTGGGATTCACCAAATACCTCTGAGTCTCTCCCATTGCATACTCCCGTCTCTTCTAAAGTGATCACTTGTAGTAGGCCTTATGAAGCTACTGTTCAGGTGATTATCAGTAATTTTCCACAATCCTGGTGGCAATGCTTATAGAACGTTTGTTTAAATTTACTCAGCCACACTGTCCTCCCCTAAAATTGAACAATGGCCGTATTTTCTTTTCAAATACGACTCGGGTAGGAGGAAGAAATGGCTTATAGCAGAACGTACCGAGATGATCCTACTGAGATGACTGTTCTGACTAGGAGGCTCAGAAATCACTGCGTGGAGGCTTGAGTTTAAATTACCAAGGCCATTCATGTACTGTTTCGACCATGCAGAATAACTTATGCCTGGCAGTTTAAGCCGTCGCTTTCTTTTACGTTCTCCAATAAAGAACGTCAAATGTTTTGGGGAACAACAGATATATCAGAAATTTTTACAGAAGAATATTGTGGAAGCAGCAAGCGATGCCATTCTGATGGTTCAAGCTAGTAATACGGTTGTCTTCTCTAAAGTACGAACCCCTCCCCCCATTTTTGTGTAGTTGGATGATTTTGGTTCCCACCAGCGTGGTGCCCGAACACAAATTTAGTGGATTTAACACCATCTGATTGACGATAAATCAACTTACAAGGGACTGGGGCCGAGTTTCGAGCACTGGACTCTTCAGGGAAGCGAAAATTACCCGCTCCGGTCGGATATATGCCTCATTTTCTGTGGGTGTTGTCCTGGCTACAAATGAATCAAAACTAACAAAATTCGATATACTCACCACTGCCCTGTAGCTCCCTTCCCGACTCATGCTTCTTTTCCACAACTATGTTGGTAGATTGGTTATGTGTTCCTGAAGAAGGCAGCAGTACTTACGTCTTTTCTCCTTCACTTGAGCCGCAGGCTTAACACCTTTTTCCAGATCCTTTTTTGAGTTCTCCTCAACCATATCTTCATCTCTGCGTACATCCGTCACAGTTCTATCTTCTGGCCGTTTCCATTCAATAAGATACGATTTTAGACTGTTCCAGGAAGAATCTGAATCTTGTTTTCTGTGAACAATCGCTTCAGATGAATGCATGACATACCGGATGTAAATGGTTTGTCTTAGCCAACCGGTCAGGGCATGAACCGCACTAAAATCTCCGAATTCTTTTCGAAAAGAATCACCGGTACAAAAGCTAGAAAAAACTAACGCTGCAATTCGGGCCTTACCTTAGCGATGCGATTTTGAGTAGGGCTTTGGTGAGCAGCATTGGCCACAGTTCGTGTGGTAGACGACTTTGAGGCAGCAGCATCTTTTTGTCTCCATCAAAAGGGACAACATCATCAACAGTTATTTTTCTCCAACAACCCTGAAAACGTGTAGGCTGACTGACACAGCATGAGGAATCTCACCATCCAGTACAACTTGACGATATATTTGCCATACGAATTGTACTGTGGAGCACTTGGTTCTCTTCCGACCTTGTTCAAGGCATATATGTGCTCCCAAGGACGCCATTTATGGAACACCCGTTCGTCGAAACCCTGTTTGGTTTGGGTTGTGTCTGTCCTTGCTTGGTAATGAAGCCAAAGGTTTTGTATGTCACAAATAATCCACTTAAGTGTCTGTGAATGAGGGCAAAGTGGAACGTTTGATAAAACCAGTCCGGGTGAAATTGTAGAACCTGTTCGGAAATATCGAAACGCTGATAAAGTTCAGTATATAACTCCAGTTTATCAGACGTCTACACAATAGTTGTGAAAGTCTAAATTTTGGATTAGTGCTTGTTGTCCAGTCGATGAATGGTTACAAACTTCTGGACAAATATCTAAGAGAAAAGCGGGAAAAATTTAAGAAATGGGAAAGAAAATAAATGAAATGTTTTACATGTAAGCAAAGAGAGCACTCGTTTTGGGCAGTATCCCTTTGCAACTTTAATTATTGTCTTGGGCAATAACTGGTTGATTTTATAGTTGTTTGTGAAAATGCTTGGGACACATCCTTATTAAGAGGTCCAGAGCAATCTCACAATGGAGGAACCTCTCAATTGGTTGTAGAACCAGGCCTTGAGCCATGCATGACATCGTCAGATGTAACGTGAGAAAAATCGTCAAGTGAACAAATCCGTATCTTTTGTTCCCGTCGTTTCAAAAGTCGTGATACGGTACAGATGTCGAACGTCCCTAGCGGGCATATGGATCGATAAATAGCCCAAGCAAATGGGTCACTGTGTACCAATGACAGAGACCTCTTGTCAGTCTCCTGGGATTGGCTGAGCAGCGTACGCACTGTGTTCAGTAAGTACGCTTGTCCCAAGGACTTTCCAATCTCAATGAATCTTGTCCACTATCACACAGAATACTATAACGGCTGACTCGTGATATCCTTGGTAACTACTCACATTGAATTTCCAGAATAGTGGCAGTAGGAACATTCGATACCGTCTGTGTTGCCAGTACGCCGTCCCCTCCAGAAGAGGAGTCCAAAGTGGAAGCAGCTGGTCAATACTTTTCGAGACATGTAAACTTTCTGTTGAAACCAATATCCTGCATGAATAGAATCCTCACCGAACAGAGGCAACCGTTCAGTATTCTTACAGTAAAACAGAATCACCTATCACCGAACGCGGCTGAAAGTTCGATTGAAGGTTAAACGACAAGAATCACTGAGCCGCTTACTACCGTTCCCTTTCACACCGACGAGATCTGTTTGCTTTGACATGACTTAATTTGATGGAACATTCGGAATTGGCTACATCAATGGCAGAGTTCTTTTGTAATATGATACAACGCTTTGTCGAAACCTGCATAACGAGAACAAAGGTTGAGAGCCCCCCGAGTTGGGTTCACACATTCATGCAACTTACAGTATTTGTGGAAAATTCACACACAAAAGAGTAGATAACTATGGGGGATAGCGTACTGGAACCTTGTCCTTGAGACTGCAGCTTAGCAACCGGTTGTCACAGAAATCTATTTTCAGCTGACTGCTCTGAATCCTCTCCTCAGACAGGTGGTTTTAGAAACTACATCTTGGTAAATGAAAATCGTCCGCGACTTTATCCTTTATCCGTCTCTGTCCAAGGATAGGAGTACGGGCAGCTCATTTCCACCCAAGGTTTTCCAGATAGCGGTTCACCCGCCAACAGCCTATTTGACAGTTCGGACCAAGCAATCTGACTACTCACGAGTAGTCGAACTGATTAGATTCGGGGCTGATAAATGTATCCTGTTTATCAACTCAGAACAGTAAAATTTCCAGGATATTTCATTCACACTTTTTTGTACTGAATTTGTGGCCGCTTTTCGTGACTTGCGCGGTTTGCTGAGTAGATGCGACGCCCTAGTAAGCCATTTCAAGGGACATTCACTCCAACTTATTCAGGTCATCCGACGTTGCTCAAATTTATTGTATCCTATCCTTACTTCATTTCATCAGCACCAACCCATTACGATTCATTGGTTTCTCAATGCTCCTGTTACCCCGGACAGCCTGACAGTCGAACATTGATTGAGGCTCTCGCAGACGCAATGCTTTGCGTAAAAGAATTTATTCTATACTCCGCTGAAGAGAAAGACTCAAGTTCTATATTACTGTGTTCATATTCAGGCACAGTGGTGATGAACAAGTTTGTATTTATGGTTGGATTACCTCCGAATCAGTCCCGAATAGTTGCAACTCATTGTCCCTTATCAACTGAGTCAACGCAGGGACCTCTGAGCCCACACGCCATGTTAAAAGGGGCCTTAAGTTAACCAAAAGCTTTTCAAATGCAAATTAGCGTGTACAAAAACCCCAAAGTCCTCGGGGAATTTTGGGAAGAACGGGTACTGTTGTTGGCACAGTGCTGACGATTGTTTGACGCGATGTGGCATACAGCAGATTTCCTAAATTTGTTGCACTGCTGAGGGGTACTTTGACTTGAAAATGCTCGTTGTGTAGATCAATGTGATATTGGAACAAACGAATTTTCCTTGCAAGTAAAACCGAACAATGGCTCTGGACAAGCCATCAGTTTATTTCCAATCTACAAAGCCACCACATCCATAGTTAAACGACATTGCTGGGTTCACTAGAAACAGCAGGATTTAGCGGTTGTTGGTTACCAGTGAAATGTGGATTTCGGATAATTTTTCTCGGTAGTGTTCTGCTCAAGTGTAAGAATTACGATGTACACATTACTGTCAACTGCTATGCTATGCGAAATCTACTTTGCACACTCCAAACGAAGGGTAATTGTTTTCTCTACACATAGTCCTATTGGATGCCACAATTTATCAGCAGGGAAATTGGAGTGTGGACAGAATGATTCCAGCCGTATGAACCTACCTCATTTCGGAAGAGATGTTGATTGTTGTAGAATAAATCAACCACGTTCACAGAGTTCGAGTCAAATACAACCGGTACCTGAATTCCTGTGTAAACGTCTTTCTGCGCGTGAAGAATATTTACCTTTGAATTGATAAATTGGTTCGGTCTTTTGGTAAACGCAGGCTTCAGTGATGGTGGGAGCACAAAACTTCCTTCAGGATCAACGAAGTAGACAGGCGACTGTTAGTTTCAGAGTGTACATTTAACTGGTCGTGTGCTTACTTGAATCGATCGTGATTTATCCCTGGTCTTTGCTGTGGATGTAATATCCTATGGATTGTGGATGCATTGTTCGGTTTATTCTCGGACGACTTACCCACTTCTCAGTGTTTATATCCTGATCAGACCATTCAGGCCAGATTGGAATAGGCTGGTTTTCGGTGGGTAAGACACTTGGGTGACTGAAAACGAATCAAAGGCAAAGGCATACAGTCTGTCAGTTTCATTAATAACCATGTATGTTGTTGATTTGGGCTGTTTAACAAACGATGTAGGAGACTAAGAGGACCCTACCGTATTTTTGGACGAACAAGTGTTTGCTGGCAGTGTTAGTGAAGTACAAATTCTTGCGACCGTTTAATGATTTCCGAGCAATCGCATTTACAAAAAAACTTCGAGTATAGTTGTGTTCAACGCATTCTGTTAGGCCCTAAGGTAGTTTCGAATCAACCTTTGGTATGAGTGCTAACCAATCGAGACCAGATGAAAAGTGTGTTTTAGGTTAGAATGGTCTTGTGGATTGTCAGTGTCAGTAAAAAACAAGTTCCTTTTCACAAAGAAAGCCACTGACAAGGTTGCTGAAAACTCTTCGACAGCCCACGACCGGTTTCGCCCTTCTTGGGGCTCATCAGGTAGGCGCAGTCCCCCAGTTTCCGTCAATCTTATGTTCCACTTGAACCCAAATTGGACGGTTTTCGAGAAATACACTAATTTGCAAATCATTTTGGTTTTCACGAGAGACTCAAGTGAACCTCTCGTTTATTATATTTTACAACTGAATGTGCTTCACACAGACCGCCTCATAATTCAGTTGGCACGGTATTCGAGATATCGCAGTATATTTTCATAAAGGGAACTACTCACAAGGTTGCTGAAAACTCTTCGACAGCCCACGACTGGTTTCGCCCTTCTTGGGGCTCATCAGGTAGGCGCAGTCCCCCAGTTTCCGTCAATCTTATGTTCCACTTGAACCCAAATTGGACGGTTTTCGAGAAATACACTAATTTGCAAATCATTTTGGTTTTCACGAGAGACTCAAGTGAACCTCTCGTTTATTATATTTTACAACTGAATGTGCTTCACACAGACCGCCTCATAATTCAGTTGGCACGGTATTCGAGATATCGCAGTATATTTTCATAAAGGGAACTACTCACAAGGTTGCTGAAAACTCTTCGACAGCCCACGACTGGTTTCGCCCTTCTTGGGGCTCATCAGGTAGGCGCAGTCCCCGAGTTTCCGTCAACCTTAGGTTCTACTTGTTCCTTTTCAGGTCACTCAGTCGATCTACCAAAATCAGTTTTGACCAAGCAGAACAAAATCCCGGTAGTGGTAACATGAAAAGTAGGTTACCAGCACGTTGGCATCATTCATGATTTCAATTACTAAATGAGATTGCACCTAGTACAACACGGAAAGCTACACCTGCTTTGTGTTTAGTAGGTCACAAAATTTGCTTATGAGATGAAAATGTCACAATATGGAAAACATGTTTTATGGGAATCTTATGATTCTGATTTAAATTGGCCTTGACGTGAAGTCACTGAGGTATGCAACACTCTAGCTTCTTGCTACAGTTGGAGGAACAATCCTTAGGCCCTTTTAAACTGGCATTCATCCATCTTCAGATTATCTCTGAAACATTCCCGGATGATGTTAACAATCGCATCGGTACCTTACGAATAAAATAAGATATGCAGTGCTTTGTTACTCGTTATTCTATCCTTCCTGGGCATAATAACTGATTCCTATAATTTTGAAATTTCAGCTTCTTTGTGATGAACATGACTGATACTCTATTCATTGCTCACCGCCTCATAATTCAGTTGGCACGGTATTCGAGATATCGCAGTATATTTTCATAAAGGGAACTACTCACAAGGTTGCTGAAAACTCTTCGACAGCCCACGACCGGTTTCGCCCTTCTTGGGGCTCATCAGGTAGGCGCAGTCCCCGAGTTTCCGTCAACCTTAGGTTCTACTTGTTCCTTTTCAGGTCACTCAGTCGATCTACCAAAATCAGTTTTGACCAAGCAGAACAAAATCCCGGTAGTGGTAACATGAAAAGTAGGTTACCAGCACGTTGGCATCATTCATGATTTCAATTACTAAATGAGATTGCACCTAGTACAACACGGAAAGCTACACCTGCTTTGTGTTTAGTAGGTCACAAAATTTGCTTATGAGATGAAAATGTCACAATATGGAAAACATGTTTTATGGGAATCTTATGATTCTGATTTAAATTGGCCTTGACGTGAAGTCACTGAGGTATGCAACACTCTAGCTTCTTGCTACAGTTGGAGGAACAATCCTTAGGCCCTTTTAAACTGGCATTCATCCATCTTCAGATTATCTCTGAAACATTCCCGGATGATGTTAACAATCGCATCGGTACCTTACGAATAAAATAAGATATGCAGTGCTTTGTTACTCGTTATTCTATCCTTCCTGGGCATAATAACTGATTCCTATAATTTTGAAATTTCAGCTTCTTTGTGATGAACATGACTGATACTCTATTCATTGCTCAATTCATTATTCTCTTGTTTTAATATTACAGATGCTGTAAATATATGTAAATTCGAATACATACGTGCTACTTGTTACGCTGTGCTGAATTGTGGGTTTCTAGTTCGTCTGGTTATACTGATATTCGCGGGGAACTTGCTTTCCACATTTTCTCAGCTTTCACTCACGGTTTTGGCAGAGTGATCATTCTGTGTGAACATGCTAAAAGCAGCCGTCTACTGTGATGACTGACTCAGATTATGCACATACTGATGACTTTAGCTCATCCAAATCAGTCCAATCATTTATTGAACTCCTACTCATTCCCGATTGAAATTTGTAACGGGTTTACTACTGATCTTCCAAGGTCGCGACGGAAGCACACAAAATTCTTACGATCTTGTATGTGGATACCCGACATTTTCTTAAGAGTTCTTGTCGTCCAGATGAAACAAAGACAAACGAGAAATACATTCATTTGCAAATCAATTTGGTTTTTACGAGAAACTCAACTGAATCTCTCGTTTATGATATTTTGCAACTGAATGTGCTGCAAATGAGTGTATATTCGCTAATTTCGTGTTGTTTGGTTTCAAGTAGAACATAAGGTTGATGGAAACCCGGAGACTGCGTCTACCTGATGAGCTCCAAGAAGGGCGAAACCGGTCGTGGGCTGTCGAAGAGTTTTCAGTAACCTTGTGAGTAGTTTCCTTTATGAAAAGACAAACGGGAATTTTCGGACTGGCAGTTGATCAGTCACGTGTAACAAATGATGATTAATGTAGGTGCTTGCGGGTTTCTGTAGAATACACACATATATGACTTCCGTTTGAATGATCATCCTCCTGTCCTGGTGCAATTATCTAGGTGATTCCAGACCAAAGGGAAGCACCGGACTCACTTGTAGAGCTCATTAGTAACGCGTATCCTTGGCCATACCGGGATTCGACAAATCAGCACCAATTTTGAGTTCAGAATCAAGGTATTCATTTGATCTTATGGCAGATAACTTTTGGGTTTTTTCTCCGACCGTTTGTCTTTCGTGCACATCAGAAAGCTAACATCTAATCAATCCAAGGTAATTCTTGTTTGCGTCCAAACTGTCAGTTGTCTAGAAGTTGTTCTTGAAAGGCAGGTGGCCACAAAACTTTGCCATGAATTATACTGGACTTACTGGGAGACACAATTAGCTCACCCTGCATACTAATATGAATCTCAATAACTAACGGGAGGAAACTCTGTGCATTTAGATATTGCTTGTCCACAACGCTAATGCCGTAACAACAGAGCCCTTGCCCAACCGCGATTTTTCACGTCAAGTAGCCCACCTAAACATCCAACTATCCATTCCAAAGGTACAATAAAACAGTTGGAAAATTCGTCGTTGCTCAGGTGCATCCTACACTCTCAAGTATGTTTCCATTTAGTTGCCCATGAACAGTAAAGTGCACTGGCCACTGGCTCCCGAGAAAGATCGCATGCGTACTGCACCGTATATCACGTTCACCAATCAACCAATTTTTCCATATCCATTTGTGTAAATCGCTGTTTACAGTGTCGCGAAAGTCATACGAGTGTGTTCGAAATCTACCGTCAATACCAATGGATAACGTGCAGCACATTGATTTCTGTGACTTTCCAAGATCAATGAGAGTCATAAAAACAGAACGGAAGAATTTGTAATGTACTACTCATAAGGTTGCTTAAAATCCGTCGATGGCCCACGACCGGTTTCGCCCTTCTTGGGGCTCATCAGGTAGGCGCATTCCCCGGGTTTCTGTCAACCTTATGTTCTACTTGAAACCAAATTGCACGAAATTAGCGAATATACACTCATCTTCAAACTAATTTGTTTCTTTCGCGAGACTCACCTGGAACCTAGTTGCCTGAGAACATCATAAACGAGAGATTCAGCTGGGTTCCAGGCGAGTCTCTCGAAAGAACCAAATTAGTTTGCAGATGAGTGTATATTCGCTAAGAACGGAAGAAATTTAATCAGGCTGTCTCTATATTGCGGCTTGTATGTCAGCAAGTTATTGAGGTATGCAAGTGAAACGAATATTTGGAAGTCTCTTGAAATAGTACGTTTTGAAGATAACTGAAGCTCGGCTCGTGAGAGAGTTAAACTGGTGGCTCGTATCAACTTGCTTCGCTCATAGATAACCCAAGACCTCGACTGACTGTTGCGCTTAGAAACTTAAAATTGGCTCCAACTTTCCAAAATCACACACGTAAAGTGAACGTTTCCAGCAATGTATATCAACTACTATTCTTTGGGGGGTTCGTTTCTGGTTGAGCTAACCTAAATGAGGCTGAGCAAAAAAATTTGAACTCACTCCTTAATTTTTTTAGCAGAGATATTTCCTGTCAGTTTCTTGGTTGCCATGTGATTTGGAGAATACCACTAAGCATTGAAAATGACTAGCAATCGCAGTTGTTCACTGTCCATAG